AAGGAGTCCTCTAACAAATGGCAAAACCCGAGGAGCTTGATCTTGGACTTGACTTATCAAAACCCACTTCCCTGCAGTGCTAAGGCCAGGTTATCCCCTGTTTGAGTCCAAATCATTCCACCATTGCCTTGTGCTCAGTGGAGGTGGAGTCTGGGACTCGTGAGTAAGGAAGAGGCAAGGAAAAGTTCTGGCACATCCTGTTTTTTATAAGGATGTGCTGGTGTTAACCTGCGGTGGGCAGGATGCTGTGAGGGCATCTTAGCATGTTCAGGTCCTTCTGGGGAAGCTCAGGCAGAGATGTCCTTGTTCTATTCCTTCATGGCTCATGTTTCTTTGGGTCATCACAGATAGTCCCTGTCATTTAAACAAAAGAGCTGTGCAGTCACAGATTGGAAGGCAGGCTTTAGAGGTTCTTATACTTCCTTTTTGATAGGGTCGAAATGTCTTTAAAACAGATACTACCGCTTTCACAAGAGTTGCTGGTTTATTCATCCCACTGAGAGATGTGGATGGAGGCTGCTGGAATAACAAGAGCTATTTGTCTGAGGAATGCATCATCCTCATGCTTTCCAAAGCCTCCATCCCACGAGCCCTTCTGTACAAAGCAGGAGGTCGTTTCAGGATATACCTCCTCATACAAGTGTAGGAGAATTGAGTGTGCTAACAAGGTCAGAACCTTTGAATCCAACCAAGCTGTTGGAGCAATTTCCAGCTCTATTGGCTGCAGTGTCATCTCCAGCCCATCCCATTGCTCCCCAGCCTCTGCATTGTCTTTCTGCGGCCCAAGGTGGGTGAATTTGATGCTAAATGACATCTCTGAAGAGCAAAGTTGCTTTCTCTCCCCAGTAGCCAGATGGAAGCAAGGCAACCCCTTCCTGACCACCCAGCTGTGCGTTTTTCAGGACCCCTTGGTTGTGCGAGCAGGGTGAGTGGTTCGAGCCTCCACTTAGAGGAGCTGTGGAACAAGGGGAACAAAAACCAGCTGGGAAAGACCCCCCTCTTTCTGCTTACAGCTGAGAGCAGTGGCTGGAAGCCTCTCTGGGAGAGATTAGGTCAATGCTGACAAGCGGAAGGTACCACTGGAGGAATGGGTCATTAGCAGCTTTTACCAATTAACAGCGGCATCAGTGAGGCCAAATGACTCTCGTTAGTCAATGGTTTATCGATGTGTTTAGAGACAACCATACGCTGACAAGTATCTTTCCCCTGGCATCCTTGATGCCAAAGGCCCACTCTGACATTCTGCTCTCACCCTACGCCCTGTTGGAAGAGGCTTAAGAGCTCTCCTAAGCACACCTATAAACTGACAGTGCACCGTCTTAAACCAATTCAATTCCCTTCCCTGCGATAAAGGATGCCAGTTCCGAGAAGATAACATCTCCCAGTGATGGCTCCCCGAGCTGCAATTTAGCACAAATCTGAGCGCTCTATTATCCAGCTCAGCCAATTCGTTAAGGAAGGACAGGCGAGCACATCTATTAGCTCGATCATCATAATCAAATATTGGCACAAGGAACTGCTCGGCGCTGCAAAGTCGAGCGAAACCCCCATAAAACAATTATGTTCCCTTCAGGAAAACAACGTGCCAGCTGGTGAGGTGAACATGAGTCCGACTGTTTTTCCTCCTGTGAGAAAAGGACAAAATCCCTTCAACTCCAAGTTAAGTCCAGCAAAGCCTCAAAGCGACTTTATTCTTGGGGCTCCTGGGCAATCTGGGCTCCATCTCCAGTTCCTCGTTCCTGGGGGTGTTTATTCTCAGGGACCACCGGCTAAGGGGTGCTAAGCCTGTCCTAAGCTTCTGCCAGTTGTTCTGCACCTGGACATCTTGCAGGCAGAAAATGAAGGCAGAAAAAACTTCCAGTGAACACCCATGGTCATGTACACGCTCAAGAAAAGGCTTTAGGAAATCTTCCTTCTACCCAAACTTTTCTCTACATTTTTCTGGCTACAGTTCTTGCCTTTTTGGCTGTGTTTTACTCTGCCCCTTCACTTTTGTGCCTGGTAGGGCCACCTCCTTCTGCTGTAACCCAGCAGTGCTTGTGCTTCTGTGCAGAGACAGACAGAGGAGTTCAGTTCAGTTAATCAGACAATTGAATTTATTGGTGATGAACCTGCTTGAAATTCCCATTTGATCCAATTTACTCAGCTCCAAATGGCCTTAACGTGGTTTACCTTATTTCACCTCTGCTACAGCAGAGCAAAACTGAATTTTGCCAACTTTAAAAATTATGTCTCCAACACAGTGATCAGTGAAAAATTCTCTTCATTGCCACAGCTTCAAAACATGAACACTTACCAGAGAAAAGGTTCTGTTCTTCCAGGAGGGCAATCTGTGAACATCACAGTCGGGCTGATGCAACTGAGCAAATCTTGTTGACAAAAATCAGGTTTTGAAGTTTTTTTTGGAAATCCAGGAGGGAAAAGTGTCCATCTCTTTGTTGAATCCCAGTGCTGGCATCTCCTGTACTGCTTCTGAAGGCATCGCCTCTGCTCACACAGCACCTGTGGGAGAACAAAACCACAAGATCATGAAATCCTAGAATGGTTTGGATTGAAAGAGACTTTAAGGACCATCTCATTCCAACCCCCTGCCATGGGCAGGGACAGCTTCCACTATCCCAGGTTGTTCCAAGCCCTGCCCAACCTGGCCTTGAACACTTCCAGGGATGGGGCAGCCACATCTGCTCTGGGCACCCTGTGCCAGCACCTCACCATCCTCACAGGGCAGAATTCCTTCCCCATATCCCACCTAGCCCTGCTCTCTGTCAGTGTGAATCCAATCCCCCTTGTCCTGTCACTCCACGCCCTTGCCCCAGGTCCCTCTCTAACTCTTGGATGTCCTTCAGACACTGTAAGAGCCTCTTCTCCAGGCTGAACACCCCCAGTTCTCTCAGCCTGTCTCCACAATAGAGGTGTGGGCATGTGGAGCACTGGGGGTTCAGGGGGCAAGTCCTGCCCAGAGGAATTCTGCCTCCAGCCTTCCTGGGACTTCTGATTCCCATCACAGCACTGGTGGGATTTTAAGCACCTGCTTGACTGGATGGTGGCAGCTCCTTGTTCTCCAAAGCCTTCAGAGGTACCAAACCTAAATTCCCCTGAAATCTCCTAGCTCAGGAGGTGGGAAGAGCCAGGTGGGAAGTGCACAGTCCCTGGCTAGAACTTCAGGTCAGCAGGGCCACGCTGACCACCCCCAAGCCATGGTGCAAGACAAGGACAAAGCCCAGTGGGGACACATTGGCAGCAGCTCGAAGAAAGACCATAGGAACTAAAGTCACAAACAGAACTGGGTTTTATTATGAAATAACCCTGCCAGTACATAAGGAAGTTCTGTCTGCAAAATACATTTCCTGAGGAAAGTAGATCACAGTATTCGTTTTCACAGAATAACATGTAGCCTGCTATAACTTTCAATGTGACTCTTTATTATTTAAATATTAACAGTATTCCTTCACATAAACAAGTACTCAGTCATCACATAACCAACACACAAACGACAAAATAAATATACAACAAGAGCACAGTTCATTTTTTTTCCCGACTTAAATATTAAATAAATAATAAATACAGAATTTTTATTTCCTGTTATCAGTGCCTGAAACAATACGAATGAAAAAGAAAAGAAAAACTGAAAAAGTCTCTCTTCCCCAAGTGCCCCTGCCCCCACAAAAAAACAAACCAAAAAATTATCAAAATGTCTCAGTTATAAAATATCTTTAAAAAAATTCCCATCATTAAAAGAATAAATAACAAAATATATAAAAAATAACTTGGTTGCATCAAAATTACAAGTAGGAGTTGTAGATAGGGGTTTTTTCTTTTTTTCTTTTTTTTTGGAATATCTTATTTATGGTCAAAAGTTTTAATTTTTAACTTTTTTTTGCTTCTTTTATCTTCATTTCTATGGTGCAGTGTCCAGTTTAAAATAAGTATAAAATTAATAAATAAAAAAGTTAAATAAATAGCAAAAAGTTAACATAAGGTGTTGTAAATATAAATTACATACATCTTGCCAAAATTAAATAATTTACAGGATAATTAAACTAACTACTTTTTTTTTCTTCTCTTTCTTCCAGTAAGTGCAATTTCTCTACTTTTAAATACTAACTGAATTGCAGTCACAATTAATTTGGACTCTATTTACATGTTAAGAACATTGTGTTTTTAACACCTCAAATTTTATACTTTTTTTTTTCCCTTTTTTTTTTGTATTTTTGCACTTGGAATGGGTTCTAAAATAAGTGAACTCGTGGAGTCTGATCCTGCAAACACTTAAGTGTGGGAGCAAGCCCACCCAGGCCAGCTGCCCTATGGAACTTAACACAGGGAACAACTCCAATCAAGCCACTCATGGGCTTCCAGGCCAGATCCAGTGGCCATGGTAGCCACTGGGACTTTCCACTGACTTCTCCAAATTGGGAATTATACCCTAAATATCTGCAGGATTTGGCTCGAAATGACACCACACTCTTGCCTTTTGTTGGGGTCAACAAGATCCTCCCCAGCTCTGCCTGCCCCACGGGAGTGATACAGGATATGGGATGTGGGATGCTCCCACGCCAGGGTCCCTCGGGGGGGTTTGCCCCACTGAAGTGTTTGGAGAAGGAAGCGAGCTCCAGATAGGAGCAAACATGAGGAGCAGCCCCGTGGGGTGACAGCCGGCTCTGGCCATGGAGCAGTGCTGCAGAGCATCACCCCAAAGACATTCAAAGAGTTGTCCTCTAAGTGCACAGAGGGCTGCGTGTGCCCAGCTGTTTATAACTGCTTCTTTGGAAAAATTCCCAATACCTGAATGCTCTTTTTTTTTTCCTTTTCTTTTTTTATTTATTTTTTTTCTGTGTTGTAGAATGGCGATCGCGCTGTGATTTCACGCAAATCCTAGAACACCAAACCAAACCATCCTCATTGCCCTGTGGATACATGTAAGGAATCAACTCCTGGTTCACGGTACGTAAGCACTTTGCTGGCCATCAATTAACATCTCTCTTTTTGTTGGTTTTTGCTTTTTTTTTTTTGATTTGATTTGTTTTGCTTTGTTCATCAGAATCTCAACCCTTCTCTGGCATTGATGTATGATCTCTGGACTGGCAGTACTGCGCCACTGTAGGGATGATCACAATAATGAAAAGAACCAGAACTGTCATCAAACAGATTTCCAAAAAATCATATACACCGGACCATGACACATTAAAGAAATTCTTCTGTTTGAAATATCTGGAATTGGCCTATTCATAATAGCTACTCTCATATTTAAGACAGACAAAGGAATACTGTAGTTGCAAACTCCAAAAGCTTCCCTGAGAACCTTTTTTCCATTGCGCTTTCCACTGGAGATCCAGAACTGCTCTTCGGATTTCTTTCAGAAAATAAAAATAAGCTACTTTATAATACTTCAGAGTTCCCATGCCCAGTGGATATCTGAACACTTCGGGGTTGGGAGGCCCAGCACAGGTTCAGATTTACAGGTAGCTTGCAGCTCCAGCACTTGTAGCAACACAGAACATAACTCATGTGTGAGTAGGTGATCTGGACATACGACCATAGACAACATGAGGGTTTAAGCCAGTCATACACTAGTCTTGGATCAGACAAGACCCTGTTCTTGTAACCCATTTTAACCCTTGGATCAATTCTGCAAGAGCAGACAACTCATGGAAGATGCCTGCTCTTCACCTGCTACCAAGCCCCACAGCCTACTGGAGAATTTAACCTTCCATCCTGATCTACCTTGTGGTCCAAGTAGAAAAATTCCCACTTTTCTCAAGAAGGTCCAAAGTTAAGTAAACGAGAACATTGAGTTTGATCAGTTCCATGTCTCAGAAATGGCCTCTTGGTTACATTTTGGTCCTTTTTTTTTTCATTTTTTTCATTCATTAGACAAGTTTTCTAACTTGTAAACCTGAATACTTGGAGGGGAGGTTCCATCTTACAGTCTGTTTGCTTGCTGCCTTCCATCCCACGGCACTACACCTGGATGCCCTTGACGGCTTGCTTGATGCTCTCCAGCAGGTCCTTGTTCTCTGGGTTTTGGTAGCACTCCTGGTTGGTGTACATGTCTGTCAGAGTGTTCACATAGGCATCAAAGTTCTGCTCACTAATTGGCTCCTGCAGTCAAAAAAAAAAAAAAGCCAAATATAAAAGTGTTAGTGGGAGAACAGGAAGAGAATGAGAGTCTTTGTAATAAATCATCTGCGTATTTCAGTGACCAGAGAAGTTGTGGATTCCTGAAAGTGCTCAAGGCCAGGCTTGGAGAAACCTGGTCTAGTGGAAAGTGTCCTAACCCATGGCAGAGGGCTGGAACAGTGTGAGTTTTAAAGTCTCTTCTGACCCAAACAATTCCATGATTCTCCGTATGTACAGACAGCCAAAGGTCTCCACGTCAAAGCCCTTTCGTGTGCAGTGCTGCATCTAAAGGAATCTCATCACTGCCCTAATCCCGCCAGATCTTAACCAGGTCCTTAATTTTATGCACTGGCCTTGTGGGGCTGTTAACAGCACCAGGTTATGTGTGTGCAGGCAGCCTGACAGGCTGGAGGCTGAATTAAGGCATAGAAATGAAGGGCTGGAGGACGACAGGTCTGCTGAAACATCACGAAGCAAACCAAAGGCAAAGCTGGGTCACCTTGGGCTCACAGCTGCCCAGCCCAGCTCTGCTGTAGCACAGCTCCTGCTTTCAAGGGGCATTGCAGGTATCTAACTTGGGCTTAATGGGGGGAAAAAGAGAGGGAAAGGGAAGAAAAAGAACAGGAGTAAAATGAGCATAAAAGTCTCATGGGCATCATTTAATTAGAGTTGCCTGAAACCTTGAAAAAATATTTGCTGAACAGTTTATTTGACCTTTATGTGTCAAATACTTGACAGAAAAGCTCTCAGCGAGTGGTTTTCTGCCAGTTAGGCAGCTGGGTGAATACTATCCAAAACTGCTCTGCTGGAGGGTGGCTTCTCTCCAACCAGCCTGAATTTAAATACAAACCCCAATGAAAAGGATTCCCAAAAAAAAAAGAAAAAGGAAAAAAAGGGATGGAAGAAAAAATAAATCAAAAGCTCATTCCTCTGATCATTGCAATGGTCTTTATGAGTTGTAAGAGGACAGCTTCCTCAACAACACGAGCCCCACCTCCACACACCTGGTTTTGACAACAGTAATTACATTCCTGGGAATAGAAAGAAGGTAATTAATAGCCTTTTGTGGTTTTACTATTTTAATGCAGTCTTTTCATTTCTCAGTAACTCTATGGTAACATGCTGTGGGCTGTTAGACCTTGTTAAATTAAACAAAATACACTCTCTTTAAGAATGCTATTCTTTAGCTGCCAGCTATTCAAAACTCAATTGAAACTACCTGCATTATAATAGGAGCTCTAAGATCTTTCTGACGTTGAAATCCAATCCCTCCTGATCTCTGCTTGTGCTGTCTTAGCCTAAAAGGCACTGGGTGCCCTTGATAAAGTTTCCTATTTTGTGATAGTGCTCCTAGATGTAATGAGACAGAACAATAGATAAAAAGGGAGATCAGCAGAAAATGACAACAAAAGGGAGATATAATGCAAGCTTCAGAGATAAGGGAAAAGTAGTGATCTTATTAAGGACACATAGGTGTATGGAAAGAAATTCTCCCAGTCTTTAATTCTGAAAAAGCCTTATCGTGAACTGGGTTTGGCACAGCTGCCTCGATGACATCAGCTTGAGCTGAGCACTGTCAAAGTTTCTTACCATGTGTGGAAGGCGGATATTGGCAAGACTTTGGATGAGAGCCTGGCTCAACCCTGAGAGCTCCAGGAACAGGGCTTCATTTTGCTCCTCTATGATTTTGTTTTCCTCCTCAATGTTCTTCAGGTTCTTCTCCATGGTGGAGATCTGTGGAGCAAGGAGCACGGCAGGGTTACCAACCCTCAGCAGGGGTACCCCTAACACCCTGCACCCCTGGGCTTGAATGCATGGCCAAGGACACCAACCTGGGACTGGAGTTTCACCATGGCTGCTTCCATCTCCGAGTTGGACTCGTTCAGCTCACTGATCTCCTTGTTCAGCTGCTTGATCTCCTCATCGTTCTCCAGAACTGCAGGTGGGAAGGTCATGGGCAGTCAACAAATGCTCTTGGGGAGAGCAAAAGTGTTGAACTTTCTGCTGAGCCCTTCCTGCCTGCACTGTCCTTACCTTGGCTTTTACAGCCTCAAAACCAGACATACCTCTCACCTGCCATTTTTTTTCCCCTATTTTTTTATAATTAATATTTTTATTATCACAGTTCAATGATACTTGAACAGGTCAATATGTAAATGGAAAAGCAAAGGACAGCAGAGCAGCTGGACTCCAACACATCCCCACACCCGGCAAGGTTGATTGTCCTGAACAGTCAGGTCACTCTCTCCAGTCCTGAGTTTGGAATGATGCCATTTAAAAAACTAATGCATGTCTTGATGAGAAATTACAAGGTCCATAAAATAAAGCAATATTTCTAGAGGAGTGCAGGTATTTATAGGTTCCAAACTATCAAGTTCAATGCTTGAACCTTGTGAAATACCACAGAATGCTCAGTAATAGCCCTGGAAATGCAAAGTGCCATTGCTAACAAAATTCCAGATCCAGAAATATCTCAGTATTAAAAGCCCTGAATAGGTGAAAATTGCTGAATGACTGCAAGGGATTTGTAAAAATGCCAGTGAATATATGAAAAAAAATAAATCTAAATTTCAGCATTACTTCTTTTGCCTTCTTTATTATTGCTCCCTTAAAATGTGTGACTCAAGGAGTGAGACAGGTACCGTGCCACCACAAACACCCAGAAAACACAAGGAATGGGTCCTCAAAGTTCATGGTGTCCTTGAAACCTATGCCCAGATTTCAGCTGAAACCTCCCCACTCTAAAAAGGAAAAGATCTATGGGCTCAATACCCTGACACACCTGCAAGGCAAAGGAGTGAAAAATCTTACCGTCGCTGGTCTTGAACTTTGTGTTGAGAATTTCATCCCCTGAGAGTTTTCCTTTCTTGCCAGCAAAAGTAGCTCTTGGACACCCTGACAAACTGAAAAACAAGTAAAAATGGGTTTCATAAACTCTCAGTATTTATAGGTGCTTACGTACCCAACATAAGAGCATGTGCCATTTGGTGGAATTCAAGCTGCGAGACAGTTCTTCTAAAAGCTTTTTATGGTACAGAGGAAATTGCTTTATGAATAATGCCACAAAATGCCCCATTTATAAAGTGGGAGCAATTTTCTTTAAGCAAAGATTAAAAACACATTGCTTCCTGAAAAAGGAGGTGTGCCAGGTGTGGAGGGTGAGATGAGTCTGGTTGTCTTGGGCACCAAACTCCTATTTGTAGTACTCAAATTCTGTTTCAGCATGCAAATAGAGATTTAGATGAGAGGTTAGGAAGAAATTCTTCCCTGTGAGGGTAGTGAGGCCAGAGTTGCCCAGAGAAGCTATGGCTGCCCCATTGCTGGAAGTGTTCAGGGCCAGGCTGGACAGGGCTTGAAGCAACCTGGTCTTGAGGAAAGTGTCCCTGCCTGTGGCAGGGGGTTGGAATGAGATTAATTTTAAGGTCCCTTCCAACCCAAGCCATTCTGTGATTCTGTGAATATTAAAACAACCACACATTTTCTCTATTCAGTAAGCTTCAGCCTGACTGAGCTCAGCATCAAAACCACCAGTTCTTGAGCCATGCATGAGGAGCTGAATGCTGCTCAAGCAGCATCCTGGGGCAGCTAAGTTTGTCCACAGCAAAACCATCACACTCACACTGACTTGAACCCCGGGATTTACCTCCTGTGAGTGAGGAAGCTCCCGTTGGCGTGGCCAGAACCGTCACAGCCTGGGGTGGGGCAGGTTGGGCCTTCATTCTTCAAGGACTTCCAGGAGAAGGAGGAGCCGTTGAGAGATCCTTCCTTCTGCCTGCGGGCTGCCAGAGGACACCCCGAGGCGCTGCGGTGAGATGCGTACTTGCCGCTGATGTGTCCCAGCCCAACGCAGCCCGGGACCGGACACCTGGGGAATCACACAATGTTACAGCCAAGAGGAAGGAACAGATTGAAGGAATAAAGGTGTAAGGAAATTATGGATGAGCAGGAATGAGGAAGCCTGGGAAGACAGCATTTGCATTTGGGTCTCGTCTGGAGTTTACAAGGGAGGTACTTGGTTGATGGAAAGAGCAGATGGGAAATTAAGAGCTGCGAGTGCTCCTTCAAGAGAGCCAAAGAGAATCAAGGAGAATTCTGCAGGAGGGAGGTCTGTGGAGGTCACATCACACACAGCAAAAGTAGGTTCCAGTGGTGTCAGGAACCAGGTATTTGGTGCCTTACTGGGGACAAAAATGGCAGGCTGGGCTGTCTGACATGGAATCCTGTGTACCCCAGGGCTGACAGCCACACTGAACCATCACACATGTACTGCTGGCTCTGCCGGGTGTCACTGCTGATGAACCCAGGCCCATCTCTTATCACCCTTGACCCTCAAGTGCACTGTCTGTGCCCTTGGGGACACAGCCCTCCCCAGGAGCCAGTCCCTGGGCCAGGAGCTGCTCAGGCTGTGCACAAAGAGCTGCAGCCCTGTTCCTGCCAGGAGGGGATCCGAGGGATTTCTGAGCCTGCATCACATCAGACAGGACAAATCACTGAGCCATCACACACCCTGCAGCCACGGCATGGCCTCGCCTGCCTCCCCCTTCACATCCTGCCTCTCTGGGAAGATCAACCCACGCTCTCAAGGGGATAAAGTGGGAATTATCATCAAGGCAGCACATGAGCCCTGCCCTTACCAGACTTCTGCCTCTTTATGGCCAGTTGAAACTCACGGGAGCTGCGAGGAGCCTTGTGGAATCACCAACACAACTTGTGCTACTGCCAAGCACACCAGTGGCTCTCTAAAAGGCACCTCTTTCCTCCCTCCTCACCTAATGGCATTCTTCCTAAATCCAGCCTCCTGCAAGCCCAGTTTATCCATCAGGGTTTCTACTGTGGTTTGCATTTGTTTTAAAAATGCTTGCCAATTATAAATACAGTTAAAAGTTTGTTACTCAAGGGAGGTTGCTCAAAAATAAGGGAGGTGGAAAGAGGTAAGGAATGACAAAAATAACCCCCCTATCCTCAGTTTGGAAGCAATTAGGGACTTTGAGGCTCTCCAGCAAAAGCATTCGTAGAGCTGCTCCTGAAAATCACAAGCTGCGTTTCACCACAGAAATTATTGCCCTGATTGTTTACATTCCACACAAAAGGGAGATGACAGCAAAAGGGGGGGGCCCTACACCCAGCCTTTTCCCAAGATAATTTGAAAAATGCTGATCTCGATTTTAATCAGCTGCAAATGCAGCACAATTCACTTATAATATCCCTGCCAGCAGGATCCTCAGTAAATTCATAACATCATTGCTTTTATATGATCACGAGCAAATTACTGAATCCTCAGGAGGAAAAGGAGAAGGGGGAGAGGGGGGAAGAGCAAGAGAGAAAGTGACAGACCCCAGCATTTCGTATGCAGCCATTACAGCCCAACCATTACATATTTTACACCGTTAATTTAACTTTTATTACATTTTCATTGTTAAAAAAATAAACCAGAGCCTTATTGTGCAAAACAGCTGTCTTGGACATATTTTAAATTATTTTTTTTTACATTATTATTATTTAATGGGAGCACCAGTAGTGTTTGATCAATTAGACACCTGTGGATGCTCCCGCTCTATGGGTTGTCTGTTCAGTCACGTCTGCAGCAAATTACTTGAAGGATGAACAGCACAAACAACAGGGACTAAATGACTTTCTCCTCGGTGACGAAGTGCAAAACTCGGCCGGGTTCCAAGCAGAGCTCGGTGCAGACAGAGGAAGGATTTAGAGCCAAAGCTCCTTAAGATAAACCCCCACCAGGCACACCTTGCCGTGGGTGGTGGGACAAACACTTCCACAGGCTGGGGGAAGGCACCAGCCAGGGATTGTTGTGCCACGTTGTTTTGCACATCTCAGAGGAGCTTCTGCTCCTGCTGGGTGTGCTGGAGGAGAGGGGGCTGCTGTCTGGGCCATGGAATGTTGGGGGATGCCTTCGCATCCTGCTGCTGCAGAGACCCTCACAGCCCATCCCACATTTCCTGCACTCATGTCCGTGGTTCCACCAAGACCTGTTGGGGGGTGGGTGTCACCAGCTTTCTAGGAGTCAGAAAATCCAGCTTTGGTGATGCTCCTACCCCATTTGGAGCCTGGAACCTAGAGAATCTATGGATGCCCCACATCTGGAAGTGTCCAAGGCCAGACTGGATGGGTCTTTTAGAAATCTGACCTAGTGGAAGGTGTCCCACCCAATGGCAGAGGGTTGGAATGAGGTGAGATTTAAGATCCCTTCCAACCCAAACAATTATATGATTCCTTGCAACTTTATCTTCCCAGTGTTTGCATCTTTAGGGTGGACTTGGAGAAACCCAGCCCCTGGTGAGGATGCTGGTGGGGACCCTCGCTCTGCTGTGAGTGTCCTGCCAGCCCACCCCATGTTCCCCATAATAAAACAGCCACACAAAAACTCCTTTCTCCTTGCACTGGGAAGTGATTTCTGTGCAGAGAAACCACGCTGGGGAAACTGCTTGGCACATTCCTGCCCTGTCCTGCCCTGAATGGGGAAGGCACAAATGAGCAAAGTCACAGCTTCCCCAGCCCCACAGGGCACAAGTGCCTGGGGAAACCATGGGGAGGGGTGACCTCCCCACTGGGGGCTCCAACCATGCTGAGAGCAAAGGTACAACAGCCAGCAGCTGCACATCACAAATTTGCAGCCTGCCCTTTCCATCCCTGTGTCCCTGGTTAATGGCACAGCATTGCAACACCACCAGCAATTCAGTGTATTTGAGCCAAAAGAGGCTTTTTTCCTGCAGATTCTCGAGTAGGTTGCTTAATTTTTAATAAACTCTGCTAACTCCTGCTAATTACCACACGGCTCATTTAACTGGGAGGCTTTCCTTCCTGTAGACTGAGGAGGAAGAACAGAGCAGATGGCTCAAATATCATCTTTTTCTGAAAGGTCCTTCCCCCCCAGCAGGCTCATCCCAGCTTCCCACAGCCCCCGCAGGTTCTTCCACCCCCACTGGGTCCCACTTTGGCTCAGCCTCTTCTCCAGGCCAAAACCTGGGCACATGGAGAGATCCACCTCTGCTCCTCTGTGAGGGCAAGACCTGCCCTGGGAGTAAAATATTTTTTAAAAAAAGATCCATTTGGAGACAGTCTGCTGAGTCAAGGGTTTTGGACAGATATGCCAGAGCTCATGGGCAACCAGAAACTCCTAGAAGTGGTTGATAATTTTTTTCCATGTTTCTTCTTTACCCCCTTCCACTTGCACTTGCTGTGTGAGTGTACAGGCTTCAGAAAGGCTGGGGATGCTCTGAGGTAACTAAAATATATGGGGTCCTGTAGTCAGTGCTGCCTTTCATGTCCTGTAGCTGTGTGAGGAGATACAGATCCCAGACCCCACATGCTGAGCCTGTGATGCTCAGACTTGCTAAAAGTCAGGACAAATGGATTTCACAGCTCATGAAAACTCCTGAGGTGGACTAGGTAATTTCAAATCTCTATTCCCCACAGGAATAAACTCCCTGGGGTGTTTTGAAAACTTCAGCCTGAGGCAGCAGAGAAAAGTTTTTTCAGCTCACTTAGAATATTCTGCCCTGGCAAAGACTCCACAAAACACAACTTATTCAGGGTTACCAGATCCTGACCCAGCTCAATGCTGGGTAGTTTCTACTTCTGATCTGCTCCTGGCAGATAAGCCAGTCCATCAGCCCTTTCCTGCCCACTGCTTCCCAAAAACCTGCAATGTTTGGCTTGACTTGGGGTTTTACCCTCATTGACAACACCAGTGTGGCTTTCCAGGAATAATATAAAGTACAGGGAGCAGAGAAACTGTTTGTGCCCTGCCAACCTACCCTTCACATCTGCAAGAAAACTACACCATTACCTCCCCACCACCCAATTTTTCCATCAAACATCAAAATTGCAAGACCACAACACAGCAAAGAGCTTTGGCAGAGGATGCTCAAAGCAGAGTGAGCGAGGGGGGATGTGGGGTGGGTGCTGATCCCCCACGTAAATCTGTGTGAGGCAAAGTGGATGGAATGACAAGCTCTGTTCAGGAGTTATTTCCAGACTTACTTCATCAGCTCTGGGTCTTCTTTGTCATCCTTTGTCGGGGTGATCTTGATCCCACTTTTCTTGGCACGAGGGCAGCCTGACAGACTGTGGTTAAAAAGAGAAGAAAGGCCTGTCTCACTGGCAGAATCTCTGCATTTGCTATTCCCCCGCTTCAGTCATCTTTCCCTTGAATTTGGCACAGTGTTTTTGATCTCTCTCGTTTTGCAGCTTCACATCACGAGGAGAAGTCAGAAGGAAAAAAAATAGTAAAAAATTGAGGGAGATGGACAGTAATTAATGGTGTCTAGATAAGAAGATATCTGCTAACAGCTTGCAATGTTTAATGGAATTGTTGAAACAGAAGGCTCAGATCTCTGCTATTAATGTTCTAAAGTGATAATAGAAGTCATAAATAGGTAGCAATATTAACAGGAACATTGCATCAGCTAAAATCTGACCCTTTGTCTTTTATTCTGTTGAAAGGAGCTTCTAATCAGATGCTGGAAACATCAGAAAAAAAAAAAAAAAGAAGTCAGATTAAAGAGATGAAAATAGGCTTCAGTTGTCAGTAACATTAATGTTTTATTCAGAACTTTACAACTCTGCCCACTGCAGGGAAAAAAAAAAAAAAAAAAAAAAAAAAAAAAAAAAAAAAAAGAAAAGCAACACAGAAAGAGGCTAGAGAGAAAATAATTTAAGGAAGATCTTACCTTCTATGCGATGCATAATTTCCTGTTATGTGACCAGAGCCATCACAACCAGGAGTAGGGCACCTGCAGAGGCAAAGGAGGCTGAGATTAGCCTGGGGTTGTGAGCAGGGGATTGACACTCTGTGACAGCTCTTCTCAAAGAGAAATCTGGGCACTGGCAGCACAGGAGCAGGCTTCTCCTTCCTGCCCCTTCCCCCTCTGCAAGGACAAGGTTTGGTTTGTAATATCCGTGGTACTGAAGTCAATGCATGATGTGGCATTGGAGAGGAACATCTGTGGGATGTTGGGAGCACAGTGAGGGGCTGCTCTCCCATGGGGGACACAGTTCCCAGCCTGTGTCCCCACCCTTGTGCAGGGACCAGCTCAGAAGATGATAATGAGCTAAAATATCCCTCCTGGACAGTGTTTGTCATCTTAAGGAAGGCATAAGGAGACAGCTGGGGCCAGCTGTCTGCAGGATGGACCCAAGCAGAGACAAGAAACCAGAAAAGCAGCTGACAGCTCTGGACAGCAGGGCCACCATGGCCACCACCAGGGTCAGGTCTTGGTGACTTGGGGAGCAAAAATCTCAGTGAGGGTAAACAGGCAGCCCATGGCAGGAGGGCTCACAGAGTGCACACCTGGCCAATGCCTCTGATGGAATATGATGAAGAAACAGGAGGGAAAAGGTTAGGTGAGCCCTGGGTCCCCTCCTTCCACAACAGCATGGGCAGGGGACAGGCACTCAGCAAGGGGACATGAGGTCACCACAGGGATCACCAGGTCACCATGGTGGCTTTTGGGGCAGGGTCTGCCCTCGGTCCTCAGCCCTGCCTTACAAAGTCACCTCTGAAGGAGCATCCACGGCCCCGAGTTTCCAGGTGAGCATCCAGCAGAGGCTCAGGATGGCTGCTGTGATCACCCAGAGCTGCACAAAGGCTGGCAGGGGCTGTGAGCCCACCCAGCAGCACCAAGATAATGGCCCGAGTTAAGCAGCACATCATTAAGGGCTCAGAGCCAGGATGGTGAGGGGATGTGAAGCGCCACAGCACAAAGATCTGCTCCCGGTGCTGTAGGGGACGCAGAGGACATAAAAGTTGTCATGGGGACAAGGAAGAGAGGCGAGGAGTGTTTGCAGAGGATGTGCACGCCAGCCTGCCAATTAGCCAGGGCTTTTTGAGTCAAGTGATGAAGGGGAGAGGGTGTGGGGAGGAGATGGAGGGGCTGCTCCAGGATGAGGGGGAGATGCTGAGCAAAGCTCAGGGCACATCCAAGAGCTTGCAGAGCACCTGTTCTCCTCAGGAGAGCGGCTTTCAATGTCCCCACTTTCTCCATCCCTGTTCTTAAAGCCACCAGTGCCTGGTTGGGATGACTGGTTGGTGTCTCCAGGACATGCCAGTGAAATGATGGGAAATGTGGTGATGCACTGGCAGCCCCCAAGGTCAGGGCCCTTGGGAAAGGCAAGATGCTTTTCCCAAAGCTGGCTCTGAGCAGCCTGAGGTAGCTGAAAATGTCCCTGCTCATTGCAGGGGGTTTGGCCTTTAAGGTCCCTTCCAACCCAAACTATTCTGTGGTTCTGCACTGGTGCTCTGCCCCCTGAGAGTCAGTACAGCAGTGGTTTCCACAGGTGACTTTAGTTTGGCAGCTTGGAAAACAGCTTTCTTAAAAGTCTTGTTTTTTTTTTTTTTTCTTTTTTTTTTTTTTTTTGTTCAGAAAATACCAAAATTCTCCTCTTTGCAGCAGCTCTGAGGGAGACTTTGGCATTTGTCACTGAATAATCTCCATTGGCAAAAAAATTTGGTGCCTCACCTTAGGTAGGAAAGCAGGGACATGTCCTGGTCCTAGAGGGGTAACAGGGAGGCTCAGGGCCAGGAAAACATAATTGCACAAAGGTCTGGTGCAGTAAGAGCAGGACACACCCAGCAGGACATCAATGAGGGTGCAAATTCTTCAACTCATTTAGAAATCACAGGTTTGGGAGATGACTGTGATATTTCCCAGCTCTACACTGTTACAGTAGAAAGCAAAACTATTTCTCTGTTGTTCTAGCTTCAGGGTGGGAGGAAATTGTGAAAATACTAACACCAAACTCTTTCTTCCTTTCAGGATTTTTAAAGAGGAGAGAGAAGTAATTTGATTTTTATTTTTAATTATCTAGAGACAAATCATACCAACAGAGACCTTTTATTGCATGTTCCAGCCTGGAGCTATTTTTTTTTATATCAGGGATATTAACCCCTGAAATAGAATTTATAATAGAAACACTGACATGGTCTTATCAGGAGTTCTGAAAAGCTATGACTGTGCAATCTATAATATCTCAAAATCCCTTCCTCCCTCCCTCTGCTCCCATCCTCACCAGGACATAGAAAAAAAAGTGGTATTTGAGGAAATAATATTAACAAGCTTTTTTGGGGCCAGAAGTCTCCTTTTTTGCACAGTATTTTGATGAAAAGCTCTGTCATTGGGTGCCAGAGGGATACATGGGATGCTGCTCAGCAAGGCTGGACACAATGGGATGGGTGCTCAGGGGTGAGCCTATGTGCTTTTGCCTGGCCTTTACTGGGAATGGCCATTGCTCTGGAAAGCTTTTAACATCTTTAACACCAATTTTCTGATCACTTGGCTATTCTTTCAAACTGTTGGAGAAACACCAGTTCAGCAAAGCTCTTTGAAGGGGTCCTTTCAAAATGTGTATGGTCTGTAGTGTGTGATTAAATGTACTTAGCACTAATCACAGCAGTCCTTGCCATCCACCAGCAAATTCTATTAATATCAACTAATCCTGCCACCTCTGTGGTAAGGAGCAGGTGGTTAACTAACTTTTCCTGGCATCAGCCCCACACTGGTGGTGGGGCACAGAGAAGTCCAGGAGCCACCACAGAGGCTTTAGTGACCAGTGGGGCTGCCACTGACTCACCTGTGGCTCCAGGAAGCCCTGACTGCACACAGGACACAGCACTTTGGGGATTTTTTCATGGTGACTGTGCAATGTGAAGCCCTTTGTGAGGCTTTACTCTCAGTAGAGGCTCCTCAGTTGTAGTTAGGAATAGCTCAGGGTCTAAATGATCCAGAAACTGGATTCAGCAAATTCAGGGAACTCAGAGGAGATTCAGCCTGCAAGGATAGGCTGGGCCCATGAAAGAGATGATTTTAAAAAATCACAATGGGCTCTACCCAGAGATGCAGATTGGTTGGAGAGGGTTGAGGTCTCTCCAGTGCTCCCAAGTAAATATAATTCCCCCTTTCTTTAGGGAAGGCAACCTAAGGGAGTGTTTGGGAAACCCACCTTTGAAGAACAAGCTCCTGCTGAAAAGGAGAAGACAGCAGCAAAGCTGAATATGGGATTCAGAGGAAGATACCTGAATAAAAATGTTAAAACCAGGTTCCTCCTTTCAGAAACAGCAATGGGAATGGGGAAGTTTGGATTTCTGTGAGCCCTTGACCACTGGCACAGGTTCTGCCCTTGTCACCATGGCAGCTATCACCAAGCATTTGCTCACTCCCTCTTTCATTCCCTCACAAATCATGGAAATGAAGAGGAACCTCTCTCACTACATCCTAAACAGCCCCTAAAAGTAGCATAAAAATAGCATCCCAGGTTCTCCAAAAGAGTTGGCTTGGCTGTGTGCTGGTGGTGAGTTCCCAGCTGTGTCTCTACCCAAAAATAAATCCAGGCTTTGGATTATTTGAGATGGACAAAAATGTTAAATGGAAAGGGTTATGGCCCAAATTAGGCGACAAGAGCTTGGGAAAAGATGCCAAGTGAAAAAGAAAATAACATGTCTACAGTGCCCAGAGGAAACCTGCCAGGTGTCCAAGTTATTTCCAATCACTGCCATCAGCCCCCTCCCCAAAATTATCCTTTCTCAAAGCCATTGCCTCTTCAACACAGCAGCTGGAAGCTGGACTCCACCAGAGCTCCTCACAGGCAGGTTTTGATCAGCTCTTTGAAAGGAGAAGGGAGGGGATGGAAAAGCAAAAGCAGAGCAAGAGGTGTGGGGGCAGGAAGGGAGAGGAGAGAAAAAAAGGGTGGAAATAAAGAAAAAAAAGGAGTTCCAAGTTGAGCACAAACATACTTGAGGTCAGCAGAGTGGGCAGCCATGAGGTTTCTGAGGCTCTTGTCAGCAAGAGGACAACCAGAAAGGCTGAAAGAGAAGAGATGGAATATCTGGATAAGCAAAAAAAAAAAAAAAAAAAAAAAAAAAAAAAAAAAAGGAAAAGGAAAAAGAAAAAGGGCTGGGGCATGGGGAGGGAAAGGGGCAACAGAAGGGGGGAGGAAACAGAACCAAACTATCCACATGGTCACAAACTATACCAAAAGAAAAAAAAAAAAGCTGTTTTTAAAGTTCAAACCACAGAAAAAATGTCAACCCACCTGCGGTGAGAGGCATAGTTCCCCGTTATGTGTCCGCTGCCGTCACAGCCTGGGGTTGGGCAACTGGGCAACAACAACAACAAAGAGCATAAGTGTGGGAAAGGAATGGATTCCCCAAGACCCAGGGGTGGGCAAAGCCAGCACAGCCCCCTCAGGGTCTGTCTGGGGAGTCTCAGTCCAGTCCTGCTGCCAGACCCCCAACACCAGCCCCATCCATCAGATCTTGGTGTGTGTTTCCATGTTTGAATGGATATCAACCAGCTGTTTCCCTTTCAGCTCCCCTTCCTCCCTTTTTACTTCTAAGGGATCATAAGGATCCTAAAAACAATCTGGAAAAAAAAGTGCAAAAAAAAATGTGGCAGAGGCAAAGAAAGAGTTTAAAACCCTCAGCTGATGGGAGGGTTTAGTGGCAGTGGGGGACTGACAGCAGCCTGCTGGGTGCCATGGCCTGACAGACACGGCCACCCCTGGCTGCTGTTGCCAGGCTGGATGATTCCTGCCACACTGAAGCTCTGGCTGCAGGAATCACCGAGTTCAGATTTCAGATCTGGATAAGGTGCTTCACATTTCAGCTTTCTGAAATATTTTTTATTTTTCCTCCCAGCCCTTACAGCTGCAAAGAAAACCTTGCACACACTGTTTGCTGCCGAAAGGGAATGACAGTAACCTCTGGCTGTGCCTGGGGGTGATGGGGAGACACAGGTGAGGGATGGAAGTGGCACAAGATCTGCACCCAGACACACAGCAACACACACAGCGGGTGAGTCTGCTCCTGAGTTAACTACAGCTAATTCATTACAGCCCTTGGGCCAGAGAGGAACAAGGATGTTAAATGGAGAGGGAAGGCTCAGGGCTGCCCATGACACCGTTTCTTTATTCCAGGGCTGTTTATGGAAACATTTAGGACATTTCTCTACCATCACAATAAAATTAAAGCACAGGAGGGCTTCAGGGCTCTACCTCAGAAATTTCTGTTCACATCACTGGTGGATTTAAAAAAACTCTGCAGAGCTTTGTGTAGGGCAGGTGGTCTGAGCTTTGCTCATTTGGGGAAGATGCTGCTGCTGCTCTGCCTCCACAGATCTCCCTCCCTGGCTGCTCCCTCAGCCTCCTGCCTGCAGATAACGAGTGACTTGGATGAGATCAGCAAAACGGTGCCCACCAACTCCCTGGGTGATGTGTGGGAGGGTCAGAGGCACAGGAAAGAAGCCAGGAACAGCTGGGATGCCTGGGAGGGGAAACCTCCCCATCACAGCCTCCAGGTTGACTCGCTGTTATGCCAGAGCCAGGTCCAAGCTGCCGTGTTTGGCTCAAACTCCTAGACATTACCATTCCTGTGGGAATCAGTGTGGATGCACATACTCCATCCAACAGGGCAGATCTGGGTCTGTGCTTGCTGGGTCAGGGTCTCTCTTCAATGCAAAATTCAACACAGCAGCAAACCTGCTACAGCCTCAGGTCACATTTTGTGTTCCTGCAGCCTCAGAATGCTGGAGCTATTGCTGCACACCAACAAATCCTCTCTTCTCAATGAGACATCATGTGTTCAACACCCCCTTCAAGAAGGTGCTGAGATCCCTTGGGTGCTCTTGGCTCCACAACATCAAACAGTGTCCCAAAACAGGAGATTAGGACATTGGGTAGGTGCCATCACCATGCCAGAAACACTCTTGCAGGAAAATACCAGGAAAAACTGGCTCTGAAAGGAGTTTCCCACAACCCTGTCCATGAATCCAGCTTCGCTTCATCACTGCAAAGTAATGTAGGAACTTATTTTGCCTCCTTGATCAGAAGTTGTAGGAGGATGAATAAGATCAATCACAGTAAGAAAGCTACAGTTCTTATTTTTAAAATGTATTTACTAATTTTGTTTCCAGCCATCCTGGCTAAGTACATATTAATAGATTTTGGAGGAAGAGACAAGAAGGCAGGACTTACGTGAGCAGCTCTTTCTTGATGTCCTTGGAGAGGAATTTCAGCTTGAAGTTGGTTAAAGTAACTTCACCTGGGTATTTTCTCTCTTCGAAGTTCTCCTCTGACACTTCCTGCTCATCAGCTTCCGAGGAGGCAAAAGAGTGAGCGGCAGGCTCTGACTGCAAGGGAAGGGGCAGAGTTGTGGTGTGGTCATTGCTGCTGAGCTGTGCAGGGAAAGGATCCCAAGTCCATCACAGCTGAGGGTTAGTGCAGCACTGCCAGCACTCCTGAGCCCCCTGCAAGCACCTCACAGCACGCAGCCCAGAGATCCAACAGCCTGTAATTTCCTGGGGTTTTAGGAGAAATGCGTAATCCATGACTGTAAAGGGATTTACACGTGGCTTTCCCACGGTTTTGAAGGGATGAAGATCAGTGCAACTCCCTCACACTCTTCCTCAGCAGCCTCCCCATGGGCAGAGAGGCAGGTGATGCTCTCAGAACCAGAACTCTCACCCCAGCTGGGGGTCATGGCTGGATTCCCCACCTGCAGGATTAATATCGGTGCCATGCAGGGCTGTAGCTGCTAATGGCAGATATAAATCATCCTGAAAACATCACTGCTGCAGGGGAGCTGACAGGATTTACAATGAAGAAAACACTGCAGACCCAGGACAGGCAAAGTGCTGGGTTCTTCATTTGCAAGAGCATCCCAACAAATCCAAGAGCAGTTGCTTCCTGCCTGGTTTTCCCTGGCTGAAATCTGACCACACTGACAAAGCCAGGAATATTTCTTTCTGTGGCTCAAAGGGCAAACTGGGGGTTCTAGGGAAAATAGGACAACTGTCCAGGCAAACATGGCATTCGGTGTCCCCTGAGCTGTTATTCAAGCATCAAGAGCCACCTCTCACCTCCTCTGGCTCCTCTTCCCGCTGGCGGTTTGGTTTAGTGTAGTCGATGGGCCCATCCCATTCATCCTGGCGGGAGGTCTGGCTGGACTGGGGGGAGGTCATGGTGCTGCTCGTGGCACTGGTGCTGTTTTGGCGCTGGGACACATCTGGGGACTTCATGCTGGGACTACTGCTGCAGCTGCTGCTGCTGGGGAAGGTGCTCTCCCGTTTGCGGTGTTTGTTCATACTCAAGTCCAGAGTCCCATTTTCATCCACCTCAATGTCCATGGACTGAAAGTTTGGGAACACAACCAATGTTAGCAGCTGCCAGAAAGTCCCCATGGGGATGTTGCCCCTGTTTGTCTTTTGCAGTGCAGTGGGCAGGTATTCATGTCCCATCCTCTCCACAGTCAGGTAGGAGGAACTGAATAAAAAGGGTTGCTCTTTCCTAAATATTTCAGGAATATGTCATGCACAGACACCCCTCTACTACCAGCAGCATGGCATTTTGACTCAGCTGATTGAACACAGGCATCTAGTGTCAATCAGGATGCCTCATGGCATTCAAAACATTTGTCCAAGGTTGGGGGTGCTCCATGGGACTTTGGGAAAATCTGTGTTCCTCTGAAAGACAGCTGGAGCTCAAACTGGACACAACTGGGGACTTTGAAACGGCATCAGATACAGATCTGGGAGCAACTGAAACCAGCTCTGGGAATCATGGAATTACAGAATTGTTTGGGTTGGAAAAGCCCTCTGAGACCATCAAGTCCAAACATTCACCCAGCACTGCCAAGCCCATCACTAAACCATGTCCCCAAGTGCCACATCCACATGTCCTTTAAATCCCTCCAGGGACGGTGACTCCACCACTGCCCTGCACAACCAGTTCCAGGGCTTGACCATCATAAATCATAATTTTATCCTAATATCCAGCCTTAGTCCAAGACTTGGCTTGGGATTGATGCTTATCTCACATGGGTAATTTGAACCATGAGGCACCTCCACACACTCTAAGAGCCAAGATTCCCTCCTCCAAACCCAAAGTGGGGAGCCACAAGGGTGATTCTGGATGAGTGCCTGCATTCCCTCTATATTTAAAAAAAAACAAAATGAAAGGAAGGGTAAACCAAGGTGTTTCTCCCACCCCAGATTTCCAGTTTGGCCCCTGGGCAGTGGTTCCTGGCCACATTCACACACCTTGCCAGGGGCCTCTTGCTGCTTGGTGCTGAGATTCTCGGGCATCTCCCAGCAGCGGGTGGAGAGGTTGAGGATGGCGGTGGCCGCCATGTGCGCAGCCTCAGCGTCGTGGGAGTAGTCGAAGCCTGTGGAGGAAGATGAAGTGCTCTTCACGTAACTGCTGGAGGGGCTGTGGCTGGGGGAGGAGGCCTTTGGAAAAGGTTTGGCTGGAATAAAAAGAGAAGGAACAACACAAGGCTAATGTATAAGTGGCATGAGCAGCAGGGAAAGGTTAAGTCAGTGTGACACAGTTAATGTATGCACAGTTCCTGGGTTTATTCCCAGTCCAGGGGCTGGTTTGTTGCCTGGGACCTGCAACAGGAGCTGTGCTGGCTGCAGCTTGTGCTTGGTGTGAAAGGTTAATTCATTAACTGACTCTGCCATCAATACCCAAAACACAAGTGCTTTTCTTCATTAGAGCTGCTCCTCGGTGGAAGCAGTTAAAGGAGAAAGCTTAGAGAAGCCTCCTGGCTCTTTTCTTATTGTTCTCTCTCTGTCCAAAACTTGTCTGCAGTGAGATTTCTAGTAGCATGTTTGAAAACTTTAAATTTATAAAATTACATTAATAGAAAAAACATGGTCATAAAATATGAGCTTCCAAGGATGACACTGGTGAAATATGGATTTTCTGACAGCTGACATATCATTTAAATATGCCAGAGTAACAGGATTTATTGCACAGCTGCACATTGCCACGATGCTGCTCTGCTCCTGTACGTCACAGCAGCAGCAAAGCCAACCTGGAGATGCAATTTCTCTTCATACCATGTGAAATGAAGGTATTTCTCAGGGTGGACGCACAATAAAACTTTCCCTAATAATAACTAATAATTCTCTATAAATAAAACTTGAAGTTGATCCCATTTAGGGGCCCTCAATAGTTTCAGTGGGGGCAAACAGGAGATCATCTGATTTAGAGCAGTCACAGGATTGTATTCTTAATCAGTTATCAAAATCTTCAAATTCTTAATTCATTCCACCATGCCCTTTCTAGGGGAAACCATCCCCCCCTTTAGTGGGAGGCTCACCCAGGGAAGACTCATAAGCTTTGGCCTGATCATGGCAAAACAAATCCAACCTCAGTTGATGCAGCCACGGAGAAAAGTGATTTCATTATTCCCATTACAAACCCCTAATATAAGACACTATAAAATACTAATCTTCCCCAGCACTGCTTTCTTCCTCATTGCGTGCGTATATAATGCATATTGACATTAATGGGAGTTATGCACACACATGCAGGGGAATATAAATCCCTCTGGATGAAGATCTCTTTAAAATAAGTTCTCAGTGAAAGGAGCAGATTTCCCTGCTATGATTGGCAATCATATTCATCCTGTCGCTTTGATTAACTCATTGGAGGTTTGCCCACATGGTTATTCTTGTGTCTGGCTGCTTGTTTTCCTGTCCAGTTTAATCCATGTCTCCGAGGCGGGGCGCAAGTATCCGCCAACCCAACCTGACAATATCCAGGATCGGGAGATGCCAATTTCAATTTCACACCGTAGGCTCAGCGATGCTTTTCCATTTCATAAGTATTTCTACCACTAATAGACTCGCAATCAGCAAATTAGTGAAATAAGTGATGAGAAAAAATAGAAAGGATTATCCTAGTGGGTCTGCTGGAATTATTTTTGTCAGTACAATTACCCTGAAAATTCTTTGCTAATATTGCAAATAACACAATCTATTCAGTGAGAGAATCACTTGTACTGGGAAACAAATTACTTTTCCATCAGCCCTAACCCAGGATGACAGTGGCAGTTGTGCTCTCTGGCCTCCATCCAATTTCATTGTCTGATCCTGTACAGATTTAGTACTGTAATAAAGGGCGCTCCCATTGTAGTGCAACAACCAGGATGCTTTCAAGTATGAGCACTTTTTTAGAGAGCAGCTGCATCAGGATTAAACAGGATTGTGGAAGTGGGATTAGCCAGACAGAAAGCCCTCTTGAGGCTGCTGACTTCTACAAACTGGCTCCTAAATATTTTTTTTTGTGCCCCTCAATAAATGTCTTGAAGTGCACAGTTGGTGTCCGATAACACATTTGTAAGGGAGGTGTCCCCATGCAGTGTGCCTCTTGCCTTTGGTTAAACCTCAGGGTTTATTCAGCCATTTCATTTTCACCCAGAGTTATAACCAGTGCAAGGTCCTCAGAAAAGAGCAGAGGTGGGTGGCTAAGATTGGAAAGAGCTGGAAGATAGAGGTGGGTGATCGATAGGTAGAGCTGGAGAGCAGAGCACAGCAGGGAAGACAAATGGGGGGAATGGGTCATATATAAGATGGAAGAGATGAAAACTGTAATCCATTTAGCTAGATGAGGAAAGCCAGATCAATAGATATGAGCTGCAAAGCAACGGGGACCAACTGAGGACAACTGTGTAACTTATCCCACCTCGAGACATCACTCAGATTAATGTTCCCACCGAGGTTCTTCCCAAAGCCAAAGCTTCCAAACAAAGCTTTCCCAGCAGCCATGGGCTCCCCTCACCATCAAAGGTGCCCACCATGGGATCCACCTCACCCTCCCCATCCCAGGAGGGTCCAGCAGCTCAGCCCCAAGAGACTCCCATTACCCCAGAGCCACGATCCCAAGAGCCTCATAACATGCTGAGAAAGGCAGAAAATGCTAAAATCAAGTCCATCCCTGCTCCCAACTTACATTTAAAGGCTTTAGGTGAGGTTTCGCTAGTCTGAATCTTTGGGGCAAGCATGCGTTTGCCAAAAACCTGAGCATCAAAACTTGCATAATCGAAGGTGACCTTGGAGTACTTCTCCAGCTCCTTGGCCAAGTTGGCCCGGGGGGTTGCTGGGACCATGTTGGGCCGGTAGCTTCCATACTGAGGGATCTCCAGTTGCTTCACAAAGCACATAGGCCTGAGGAAGAAACAATGAACAGCAATTATTTCTCTTTTCCTTGATGAGGTGACTGTTGAGAGGGAACCAGACACAATGAGGGCACAGCTGCACCTTGTTCCTAAAGGCTTACTGGGGACGAGGAGGCAGTGACAGCCCTTTTGCTCTCCCTCAGCAAGTCTTCATCTGGTTTGGATCTCTCAGAGTCTAGTTTTATTTTCTCCATCTTTTTTTCCTTTCCATCATTTTTTTTTTCCTCTTTTTAAGCAAAACATCAAGGTGTCAACCTCATCAAGCGCAAAGTTCTTACAGGCTGTAATAGTGTGGCAGCATTTTCCAGAAGAGAACTAGCTTGGGCAGGAACTCCCTGATGGGACCCATGGCACAAGGGGGCACACAAAGGCGTGAGGACCCCAGTTGAGCTCAGCTCCTGCTGCAGGTTCATTGCAGAGGCTCTCCCCTGCCTCAGCCCCTCCTAGAGACCCGCTGCTACAGGGCTGCCTATCATGAATCAATTTGTCTTGCATATAAATTGTATATAAATGGTCTATTGTTATTCTCCTTCCCGTGACCTCTTTCCACCAGAGAGTCTTCAGAGCGGGAGCTCCTTGGAGCATGGACTGTCCTCGTGATGCGCTCAGAGCGCTCTGCGCGGGCTCCGCTGCAAATAAATAAGTAATCGCCCTAAATGGCCTTTCCAAAGTAGCGAGAGCTGGAGCACCAGGGTGCTCAGCAGTCCTGGGGAGCAAATAAATAAATGAATCAGAGTTCGATGCCTTTGTGGGAGGGCTGCTCAGGGCTCGCTCTGCAGTTTTTATCCTGCTCTCGTTGCAAAATAATCAACCATATTCCAATCCATCTGTAGCCTCATGAATCACATCAGCTACGGAAGCCAGCATCTATCAGGGACATCCTTAATGGGAGACAGCCCTTTCTCCTGGGAAGAGGGAGCGGGCAAAGTATCAAAATTAATGTGACTAGTTTGGAAACGAGCGGCAGGTTCCTCTCCTCTGAAACGTGCAAGCTAAGGAAGAAAAGCAGGTGGACTTTAATGTACAACTGCCGTGGAGTGATTTGTGTGCAGCCTAAATCTCCTCCTCCTCTTCCTCCCCCTTCCCAAGCCCACCCTACTTATAATGCTGATATAATAAGCAGCCCTCGCTGGCAGTTTGTGCTGCGGAGCAATCGGCACAAGTGCCTTCTGCTGCACTGCTAAAACCCTTTGGCCTGTAGCCTCAGCATTAATTGATGCTACAGAAGCAATTCATTGTCCTCAGTGCTCTCCCTGGGATCATCAATTAAATATCTCCCCACCTTGGCGAGACCTATGATCGTAGTAGCAGGACTCAGCAGTATCAAGACACAGCTGGAGGGAGCCGTGGTGGCTGTTCCTGGGAGCGTGGCGGGGCACGGAGGGCTGGGGCAGTGTGGGGCCGTGGAGCTGAGCCTTCCTGTCCCCCTTACCTGAGTATCCGGTCAGAATTGGAGCTGGTCTTCGCAGGATCACCAGACTGGGTTTGTTGCTTTTCATGTGATTTGGCTAATTTTTCAGCAGCAGCAATGGGGCACCCAGATAAACTGTGAGCGTTGGTTGGGGGTTATTTTGAAGGAGAAGAAAAAGAGAGAAGGAATCCAAGCATGAGGAATGAGCATAAAAACCTTCATGTCATGGACCCAGAGTTGTACTGAGCCTGTGAGAAAAGTGTTTGCTTCCTCCACACTGAACAAGTAAAAAGACAAATTCACCTTTCCCCTCATCAACACAGAACCATGGAATCATAGATTATAGAATTGATTGGGTTGGAAAGGAAAAAGCTCAACACATTCCAGCCCCCCCTGCCATGAACAGTAACACCTTCCACTATCCCAGGTTGGTCCAAGCCCCATCCAACCCAGCCTTGAAGACTTCCCGGGATGGAGCAATCTGTGCCAGGGCCTCACCACTCTCACAGGAAAGAATTTCTTTCAACCTAAACCTGTGTCATGTTGAAGCCATTCCCCCATTCTGTCTCCCCGTGGCTGTGTAAGGAGAAGCCAAAGCCGGTACCTCCTGTGCGTGTTGCGGTTGCTGTTGACGTGACCCTGTCCTGTGCACCCGGGCGTGGGGCATTTCAACACGTTCTCGTGCATCGCCAGGACTTCGGAGCGAGAAGGGGAAGGGGAGAAGGGAAGGGAAAGAAAAACAACTTAATAAAAATCAGAGAGGAAAAAAAAAAAAAAAAAAAAAAAAAAAAAAAAAAAAGAGAAAATCATCAAGCCTTGTACGCTGGTTTCCTAGAAATCAGGGAATGTGAAATGCTGTAATTAGAGTTTGCAGAGGGAAAAATAAAAGATTTACAAGGCAGCAGTGCCCAGGTCAACACTAAATTAGCATCTCTGCACACAGCTTGGGCTTTCTCCTCGTTTTCTGATTGCAATCCAGTCTCCCCCATCCAGCCCCTCCTCCCCACCCCTCTTTTGGAACCAGGTCTCCAGTTTCAGGTAGTTTTAAATGATTGAAGTTGTATCTCTGCTTTTATCCTTAGGACTACTCTTTGTTTGATTTTTTTTTTTTATTTTTAATCTTCAGGATTATTGCGTCCTGCAGCGCTGACCTTAAAAGTAAAGAAAATAATTTGATCTGCAAGCTTTTGTAAAGCCCACAGCTTGTGTTAGATATTTATTAATATTTTTGCTTGCATTCCAGCCTGTGAAGATAACTGTACTTTCTCCTTGTTTCTTCCAGTTCTCTGTTTATGTCAGGTCTGCAAACTTTGAAATTACTGATAAGGAAGGGCTCCTCTTTCTTTTGGTCTATTATGCCAATATCATAAACATACAACATTGATTTTTATGCAGCTATACATGGAAAGCTATTTAGGATGCTGGTAGAGAGGTGGAAATACAATCTCTCTCTGTGCATATGTATATACAAAAATCTGTTATGAGGATGATAAATATTTTCTGTAGAATAGGTGAATCTTGGTGTAGCACTTTGGGAAATTTGCAGTGATTAGGGCACAGGAGACTCAGCAATCCTGCACATCCTGAATTACTCCTTTCCTGCATGGCACCATATTTGCACAGCAAGGAAGAGTAATATCCCTTTTTTCCCAACACGATGTCCCAAGTAGGGAAAAATATGCTATTTCCAGTGTAAAGATGGGCTCTGCTTAACACACCTCTGGAGGTGGGAAGCTGCTTTTAAAGACCCTCTTTGATTTTCAGAGAAGGGATCTCATTCTCCACAGGATGGTGCTAAAAATCCTTTAAGAAGGACAAGACTTCCAAGTAAATCCCCATCATGTATCCTGTGATTAGCAATAACACTTTGGTGGATAACAGCATCCAGGATCAACTTGGAAAAGCATCATCCCACTCTTGGTATATCTGAGGAATAACATCAGACTTGTTCTAGGGACTCAGTCATAAAATTCATGTAATTTGAGAAACTGCACCAAGAAAATTAGGCTCCAGACTAATTGAAGCAGCCCTTGGTATCCCACCATGTACTCACTCTCAGGGGGGATCCTGTCTTTGTGCGGACAACCGGAGAGGCTGCGGTGGTGAGGGTAAAGTCCCGTGACGTGTCCAGTCCCATCACAGCCAGGAGTTGGACATTTGATTTCTCGCTTCTCGGGTCTTGAGGGATCTAAGGATTGTAGGGAAAGGGAAGAGGGAAGCAGGTTAGTGGATTCAGAGGGGAAGAAGTGGAAATAAATGCTGAGGATGCTTCTCACCGCCTTTCCGGTCAAGCAGAGGGAAACCTATGGGTTTGGAGGTTTTCTCCTTGGAGTTGTAACACTGGAAGTTTCAAAAATTGAAGCTGGCAAAGTGATTTGAGGAACTAACACAACTGGGAGCATGGAGCCCCTCACAGCATCTGAGCAGGCAGCCTGGATCAGAGCCAGGGGGTGCTGAAGCCCCTGCCCTCATGTTTTTCTGTGTCTAGATCTTACCACTACTTTAAAACCCACTCGGGGTTTTAAACTTCTGCACAGGCTGAGATTTTCAAGGTTAACTGACAATTTAGCCAAGCAATTCCTCTGCTCTGAGGAAGGAACCCTTGTGACAGTGTAAAGGACGCCCTGATTTTATGCATTCGCTGCTGACCTCAAGGATGCCCCCATCCCTCTGGGCATTGAGGATTTGTGGTTGAGTTCCCCCTGTGGGCTGTAAACTCCCGCCACAACAGCCTAATAGTCCGTGCTGAGCAGACAAATTCAGCTCTTCCACCAGGGATAGGAAGGAGGGAGATACACAAAGGTGGTTTGCGCTGTACCTTTGCCATAGTAGCTCTTCCGGATGCTGTCCAATGGTTTGTTCTGTTTGTCCTCCACCTGGAAGTGCTTCACGTGCTCTCCTGGCAGCCGGCTGGGCTCCCGCACGATTTTCACCTGCTCGGCTTTCAGGGCAATGGCTTGTTCCAGCAGCCCCAGGTTGCCCCTGGTCATCATGTCGTACATCTCCGACTCATCAGTCACGGCTGATTTCTGGGAGCGGGCATCGTCGTCCTTGTCGTCATCCGACCGGACCTCCACGATGACCGAGTACTCGGGCTTGGGGCTGAACTGCCCTTCACAGTGGCTTTTCTGGGGGTCCTGAGAAGTGTGAGGAGCTTCCTCGCAGATCACTTCAGGAGCCATCTCCTCCTCCTCTTCCTCCTCCTCTTCTTCCTCTTCCTCCTCCTCCTCCTCATCCTCTTCCTCCTCTTCCTCCTCCTCGTCATCCTCCTCATCATCATCCTCCTCATCCTCTTCTTCTGCTTCAGCCTTTTCCAGTTTGCAGGACTCCTCTCCGTTGGCGTCGTCCCGGGGCTCCGGACATAACTCGCTGCTGCGCTCGCTGGTGACCTCGATGACCTCCTCCGCATCCTCCGTCTGGATGATGATCTCCTTGTCGCACTCCTCCTCCACCAACTCCTCTCCCGCATCCTCATGGACCAAATGCACGACGTTGGACGCCGGCTTGGAGCCCTGCAGCTCCGCTTCTGGCAGCTGCCCTTCGATGGCGAGGGTTTCCTCTGCTATTTGGCCTAAGTTTAGGAGAGAGTTGGCGATTATTTCTTGGTAGCTGCTATAGTTGGCCTTGCTGGGCCCAGACAGATGTACTTGTTGCTGTGTTTTGTCCATAGTGGGTTGATTTTGCTGGGCTTCTCTCTGAAGCGGGAAAAGGAGGAATAGAAGGGAAAAGGGAAAAAGAAAGAAAATAGGGAAAGAAAGAAAAAAAAAAGAATTGAAACCAGAGCCTGGCAGTTCCACCCCTGGAGCAGCCTAATGTATTGAATTTGGGGATGGCAGGTAGAAAGAGGATTTTCACACAGGATTCAGCCACACCATCTTCCCACTGCCACCCCTGCTGCCAGTGCTGCCCAGGCCAGGGCTCCAAACCAGCGAGCAAGGCAGTGTCAGGACCCCAGCTGAAAATCCATGTCCTTTCGCTGGCACTGCTCTGCTCTTGGATAGTGGCCAGATCTGTCTAGGGAGGAGGATCCTGCTGAGCCCCTCATGGCACCTGCGTGGGACCCTGGCTGCCTTCCCCACCACACAGCAATCTCCTCTGTGCTTTCCATGGGTCTTTCCCTAGGGAAAAGCTCTCATTTCTAAGACACTGGAGGAATTGTGCGTTCTCAGCTTAACCCATTGCCATTGTGTTTCTACCCATCAATGGGTACCCCCCAAAAACTGAGGGACCCATCCTGTACATAATTCAGAGGAGCTATAATTCCTGGCTGTTAACACTTCCTGCCCTTTCTTCATCTGCAGAACGCAGCTCTGAAATCAATAATTGTAAAGCACCTTCTGCTGCCTCAGGGCTGCGAGCCTCCTCCTGTTCCATCGCCTCCGCCTCGTCCTCCTCCAGCATCCCCTCCGACTCATCGGAGCCGGACTCCTCCTTGGCCTCGGCCTCCTCGCTGCCGTCGCTGTCGACGTTGTAGCCTTCATCCAAGGCCAGTTTGAGTGGATGGGATTTCCTCTTCGACACCAGATGTTCGGCCTCAGCATCCTGAAGTTTCCTCTTCTTGGCTAGAGGGCAGCTTTGTAAACTGCAGATGGGATCAAGGAGCAGAGAGGAGGCATTGCTGAGTGAGAAAGGCCTGCCTACCTCATCCCAACCAGCCAGGCAAAAGTAACTGGGAAAAACACACAAATACTACCCAAAAATAATCCAGGCCCCCAGATTATTTATTTTTTTTTTTTACCTGGTTTTACCCTCTGTGCTCTTAGACCTTGACTTTGTGCAGCTACATCAACATTTTTCTGGAAATCAGCACACAATGCTGGGATCCTGCCAGGTCCCAGGACTCTGTTGGTGATGGGCACCATGAAACCAGGCATGGGATGCAGAACCAGCCCCTGGGACACATTCACCAACTGCTCCAATTTCACGATTCATGGGGTGATGAAAACCCTCAGTTAAGGCTTGCATGATCTCCAAGGCAGCCAATGTGTTCTCGTTTGCTTTCCCCATCCACTGAAACACCAGGCAGACCAAAATCTCTGCCCATCAGCAGCTCCCACCAGCCCCAGACAGCTGAGTCAGGCACTTGTGGCCAAGTTTGGGGTCTGTAGGAAGGCTGCTGTGAGTCTGGAGAAGCAGATCCCCCCAGGATCCCTTAGGGACTGAGAGAGAGCCAGCAACAAGAAGATTTGGGGAAGACAAGTTGGGTTGCTGCTCTGAACCAGACTTTCTCCAGTGAACACCTGTCTTTGGGTCTGTTGCTCACATTTTTCCATCCCTGCTGCCTCCAAGCCCACCTCACCTTCTGTGTCTCGCGTACTTCCCACGGATGTGTCCTGAGCCGTTACAGCCTGGGGTTGGACAGCTTGGGAGGGAAACAAACAACCATCAGGAACAGCAAGAGGACTCGGAGAATTAATTAGGATTGTATAAACTACAGTCAATTAAGCAGGTCCTGTGCCCAAGGAACAAGCTAGCTGCAAACAGGAAGTTAATTTCCTTCAAATGGTTCTGTTTGTCCCTTTGAATTCCAGGGGAGGAGGGCAGCCTTGCAGTTTGCTAAAAATTAATGAAATTACTCACCCCATTTAATTAGATGAACAGTTTGCTATAGTTTTATGAGTATGTTTAATTAAAGATTTGCATGTGTGAGAGCAGGCTTTTAAAGGCAGACAGCTACTGCACTCTGCCTCCCTGCTGCTACTCTCCAGTTTTCTTTCTCTCAGGAGAAAAACATGGGATTTTCCCTTATCTGGTAGCTTGTCAGGGAACTGGGGCCACTTACAGCAAGGAATGTGTGTGTTTTGGGGAAGAGCAGACTGGGACTTTATCAAGGAGGTTTTAGCCAGACACATCCCCAGGACTAAAATCCTCAAAACTCATTTTGGGGGAATGGATGGGATTTAGGTGACTAGATCTCCCAAATCCCTGCATTTTTTTTCCTGCTGCTCTGAAGGAGATGATGAGTTAAAGGCTTGCAGGGAGCTCTCAGCCTGCTCACAGCCACTGCTGCCTTCACTTGAGCATCCCTCACACGGGACCACGCGCTTCCCCTGCAGGGGTAATTAGTCCCAGCTCCAGGAGCTGCAAGGGCCCCAGATAAGAAGCATTAAAGCAAACATTTTCTGGCAAAACCAGATTATGGCATTGATTATAGGATGCCCAAGTGAGTTGCCTGATGTCTGAGGAATTCTGGAGTCGTGTAGGATTAATAACCTCATTTAGCACTGTATCACCCTCAGCCTGGGAAGTTGGAAGTGCTAATGAAATCTCTTGATGACAGTGCAAAGGGAGAAGGCATCACCAGCCCAGAGGGGATCTGGCCAGCCTGTTATTCTCAGAGTAAAAGACATGGGACAACATTAAATAGTACCAAGTGCCAAGTCAGGCTTTAGGGACTCAGAATTTCTGCTCTCAGGAGAGCTCAGCCCTTGTGGAAAGCTGAGGACAGGGAGGGTCTGGCTGCACTTATGGGTGCAGCAGCTCTGGGAGCACCAGCAGGTTAATAATGGTTCAACTCCCTAGAACACAAGTCAGATCTTTGTGTCCAAAAACTATGATTCAACCCAAAACTGGGGCAGGACAGTGCTGCTGAGCTGTCAGGAGAGTAGGAATCCTTCCTTCAAGGAGACTGGCTGGTTTTAGGTCAGCAAAGCAAGTGCTGAGAGGGAAAATGGTGGCACCACACCCCCTAAGGGGACACTGTGCTCTGGGGAACGTGGAAGCTGCAGCTCATGGCTCCTCCAGATAAGTCCCCCCTTCCTGCTGTCCCCTTTGCTTGTGACCTGGCTTGGACCCGTGATGCTGCACATCCTCCAGTGCCATCTCTTGTGGGATGGCTCCCAGCTCTTCTGGCATCCACACACAGCCCCAGCCCCACCACACCTGACAGCACCATGTCCCCTCTCCAGCAGGATACTCGAGGTCGTACAGAACAAGATCTCATCCCACTAACACACGCAATTGGAAGAGGGAGCTTCCCTCTTCACTGCTTATGATCTAAAAGTCTATTTAATTTTACTTGCCCTCAGGCCTGACTGCTCTGTCCCAAGCAGCCCCAGCCACACTTTCAGTGACTGCACACCAAAAGACACTGCAGTGTTTATGTCACCAGTGACTTGCCTGAAAAAGGCCTCAATCAATGGCAAACAAGAGCAGCTCTGATGAAGATGTTACAGGCTTTTACAATTTTTCCTGTATCAATTAAAGTGGATTACCCATCACCCCATTTTTAATGTGGTTAGATGAAGCCTGCCATAAAAAGTATGTAGGAAAGAGACAAGTGGTTCAGAGCCGAGGTTTGCCAAAGCAGGTGTCGATTTGGGATGTTTCTGGCTTCACTTTGTTGATTTAATGCCTTTAAAAAGCGTCAGCACAAAGGTGATGCGCTACATGCTCTGGGCCAGGCTTTCCCTCCCCACTCTCCACTGGGGAGTTTTCGTGTATTTTGGCAGGAGTCCCGAAAGGAGAAACGGGCTTCGAAGTCTATTAAAGCTGCTCTCCATCCCTCAAGAGCCACCACACCGACCAGCTCTCCCCCTCTCCACAGCCTTCATCTGCTTGACAAAAGGGCTTCTTATTGTTATGCAGACGATGCCCTGCTTCCAATTAGTCGATTAATCGTCCAGTTATTCAGGCAATTAGGTGACAGCTGCAGAGATGGCTTTGTGGAGCACTCTGTCCTGCCCCTTAGATATGTCACCTGCTCCAATTACCACCTCCACTCAAGTGTTCAGCAATAAAAGTTGAAGAAGGGGCATGCCCAGTGCTGGCTCCTCCCGGCTCTCCAGACTAATAGGAGAGTGGAGGAGCAAAACGCTCTGAAATTGGGTTGGTTTAGATCTAATTACTCTTTGACACACACGGGAGGCCGCAAGGAGAAGCAGCCCCTGTCTCAGTGCCTGTTAAGGGCTCCTACCTCTGGCATAAACCCCTGTGCAATGTTTAGTGGGAGCTTACAGGTGGGGGAGGCTGTTACATCTACTGAGAAGCTCTGGAGGGTGCAAAGGCTCTGCTCCTGCTCTTTTGGCTGCTGCTCTTGGCATCCCAGCACTGCCAAATGAGTGACAACAGGAGTTGGGTGGCTGAACAGAGGACAGGGGGCAGAAGGAGCATCTGGCACCAGAAGTGATGTGACAAATATGTGGAAAAACCTCTGGTTAGTAGGATGGTGTCCCCAGTGATGCTGAAATAGAAACCGTGGGCATTAGGTTTGACAGGTTTAGATCTGGGGTGGGGCAGCGGATGGCTGGAGGGTCTCCAGTCTAACGTGATTCACCCAGAGCTCCTGTTCTCATTTCTTGTAATTCCTCTGATGTGTTCTCTAGTGGCACCCTGAGGACTTGGACACAACCTCCAAGAGAAGCCCCCCAGCAAGACCCCACTAGTCCTGCGGGTTTTCTCCCCTCACCCAGGTTTCCCAGCTGAGGGGCTTCTCTCAAGCCAGTCCCACCCTGTGCCCCCCATCCCTCCCATGGCCAAGGAGGAGCAGGGTCCTTACCTCACCTCCTGGCCGATGAGCTCCGTGGGCACTGGGCGAAGGGCAGGATGCAGCAATGGGAACAAACACAAGGTCAGAAACAAACCAGAGCTGCCCGGCCTCCCCAAAACTGAAACCCTCCTGCCAGCAGCTGGGTTTCTACTTCCTCCCCAGACATCCCATTTGGAAAATAAAGGGCCAATGTATCCTGTTGTTCTTTTTTGCATGCCAGCCTGTAGCAAATTATAATCCTGCCTTGTAAATCCTCACGCCTGTGCTGATTTTCAAGCAGGTGAGTGCACACTGGCAGCATCAGGGACTACCTCTCCTCTTTGAATCCGTGATGACTTTGAAGTCAATGGAACTATTCTGACATGCATGCATGTAACTCAAACACTTCTAAATAAAGATCGAGTTTTCTCATGCCTTCATCTCTCTTTTTGCCCTTTAAAGCTGCTCATCAATTTCTTCTTCCACAGTTCACAGCTGTTTTCCTGCAATGGCTGCATTCACCTCTATATCATCAGCATTTTTCTCCCCTCCTTGTCCCATCAGATTGAGGCAGGAGCCCCTGCAAATGCTCAGACATATGGTGGGGATTTGTTACTTGGGGTATAGGGTAAACAAGAGTTTGTAGGATTTTTAAGGATTATTCTGCACTTGTGAATAAGAAGGCTTCTCACTGCTCACAACAAGAACATACAACAACTTCAGATTGCAGCTGAAACCTTACATCCAGCCAGGAATCCAAATAAAGAAGAGAGGGGAAAAAAAAATCCCTCAGCACAAGTCCAAATTTGCCCAGGCTAAAAACCATAACACGTTTGCTCAATTTGTTTGAGCTAATTGGGTTTCCTGGGATCCAGCTCCCAGTGGGATGACTCACAAGCTTCAACAAACTGGAGGCAGTGACGAGTCCCAGGGTGCAGGCAATAAATTACCTTTCACATCGAGAAACCAGATTCAAGTGTGGGGAAGGCAGGGTGTGAGAAAATAAATAGAATCAGGGAGCTCTCATTTGCAACCTGAACGAGCACCTTTGTGTGTGTGCAACAAAGCAGTGAAATCCAAATATTCAAGCTCAGTTCAAAAGCTCAGTTCAACACAGCTGGCAACATCTGGGTTTGGTTTGGTTTTTAAAAGGTGCAGATGCTGTGAAGAGCAAGGAGGAAGGTGAGGACAAAAGGAAGGTGGTCCAGCCCAGCTGTAGGATGAAGCTGCAGTCCCTGCAGCCATCACACATTTCCAACCTTGTTGGTCCCTCAGTTCCAGCCACCTTTGTCACTCGTCACATCTACAGCCACAAAAATGAACCCAAAAATAGAGAGGCTGCTGTGCAACCATCCCACATGGCTGTGTCACCTGAGGTGACACCCTGGGCTCTGTCACAGCCTCTCGCCTTCTCCCACAGAGAAAGCATGCAAAGAATTTCAGTTCTTCTATTATTCTTTATTTTATCAGGAAATAAATCCCCGTCGATCTTTGCATTAACCAGTTGTTTGTCCTCCCATCCCTGCCGGGGCATGGCCCATTTGCTTCTCCAGCATGAGCTACTTCTGCCAGGCGCTCTCAGATGTGAGACTTCAAAGCTGCTGGCAGAGTGAGCCTGATGAAAGCCCTGGGAGCTGATCTGAGGCTCCAGTGATTGCCATCCCCTACAGCAAAGCAGGCACAGGGGCTTTTCTTCCTTATTTGCTTGTTATTTTCCTTCATCTGAGTGTAGAGGAGGAGGGTTAAATATCATAAGGACCTATAAAGTTTTGTGGTGGGGGCTTTTGCAGGTTTTTTAGATAAATTTCAGTGTGATTGGGGCAAGAGTAGTGAGCATAACTTGAGGAGTTAAGGCTGGACTTGAAAAACCAAAGCCTGTTTGGAAGAAGGGAAGTGCAGGGAGCTGAGGTGTGCAGAGCCCGGTGCTCCCACTCACCTCGGATAGACTTGGATCGCGTGCGTGCTCTCTTATCATCATTTTCTAAACTCATCTGCAACAGAAAGAAAAAAAAACATTACTGAAGGACAACCAGAAAATCATCAATAAAGGACAAGCTTGTATGTGGTAGTTGCTTTGTGTGTAAATACTTGGGTGGCTGGGAAAGCTTTCCCGTGTTTTTGAGGAGAAGGTTTCTTACCTTAATGCTATGGTTCAACACACAGTGCCCAGATCTAAATTTAAAAATAATTTTAAATTATTTTCCACATCCTGGGACACAGGAAGGACATTGTAGCACAGGGGGACAAACACCCAGATGTGTTGGCTGTGCCTGAGGTAGCCTTTGTTAAGGGCAGAACTGATTTCTCTGAATTTACAGCACAGAACTGCTGTGAGCACCCGGGTGGAATGCCAGCAAAGAATCAGAAATCTCTGAATATGTGTCTGAGCAGATCTCCTGCCTGTAAAGTGAAATTTTTCACAAGTGCCCTAAAGAGCAACCTCTCCTCTCTGCTTAAATTTGCCACAAAGAGGACTGCATCTAAATAACTCACAACGTGGACATCAAACACGAGGTCTGCAGGGAACACGGGCATGAATAAGTAACATCAGGGACTTCAAAGTTCTGGATATTAATTAAACATCACCACATGCCACAAGGTAGCAGAAGTCTGAAGTGCAGCCACCTCTGGGGTCCAGCACCTTTGAAAGCAGGCAGTGCCCGGAGGTGGGAGCAGGAAAGCAGGGACCTCCATGGCATGGCACAAAGATGCGGCTGGAATAATATAAATGGGATTTCATTAAAGTTGTCAAAGGAGCTGCTGAAGTGGTCAAAGAACTGTTTTACATCTCAGCCTCGATGCAGATGCTCTCTCTGCAGGCAGGAGTGTTTGGCAGTAAACGCCAAGGGGGAATGGCAAGATTGGGGTGTGAGCAGGGCAGGGGATCAGAGCCTGGAAGGTTGGGAAGACAATTTGGGTTTTACTGCAGCATTATCATGTGGGGCATTTCCTCCAGAGATAACAAGGAGAGAGAAAAGGAGGTGAAAGAACCATTTACAAGTGGGATTTGACATAATAAAGACAAACTCTCTTTGGAATATTCTCTACAGGCCCAGTTAGAGAAAGAACAAACCAGCTCCTGTATCACTCCTAAATGAGGAGGTTCCATGGCTCCATCAACCCTGATGGAGCAGGGACACCATCTCTGCTCTCTCTGCTCCAGGGGCAGGAAGGGACTTGGATGTAGAGCATGTAGGGTACGTGCTGCTGGGTCCCTGTGTGCACCCTAAAAATGTCCTGATGAATGCCACTCCCAGTTCCCAGCAGAAGGGCCAGGGGTTCTCACCTGCAAAGGAGGCACTGCTTGGTGCTTTCCCTGAGGTTTGGGAGCAAAGAGGGAGGGAGGCTGTTGGGGCAGGCAGGGAGAGGGGACTAAGGTCCCCTTGGGATGCCCTTGGGGCATCACAGCTAAAAACCTCTCAGGAGAGGGATGAAGGTGTCCCCAAGCGCCTCTCTCCTTCACACTGCCACCTCCCAGAAATTCAATGTTAACATGCAATGATTTGTTAGATGGGGATGGTGGAGAGGAAAGAAGAAAAAAATAAAAAAATATGGGGGTGGTGAGGGGAATCAAAACCTGGAGCGATTTATGCATCCTGTCAGCATTCAGCTCATGGCACGGCGGTGTTGTGCTCCACGTTTATTACAATCTTCCCAATAACACAGCAGACAATTACTATAATTTGTATTTTTAAAGCCCCAGTTCCCTGTGGACCAATGGCTCCCGTTTAAAGTGTGGAGAGGAGCAGGTGTCACAGGGACTTCATTACATTTATGAGCCTTTCAACGCCGGCGTGCGCTGAGCTCGCTCCCTGATGCCGCCGCACGCCGCCAGTGCAACGGCACCTCGGATTGCTGGGAGCAACCAACCAACAGGAATCCCAGAGAGGGATTTTTCTTTCTTCTTTCTCTCTCTTTTTTTCCTCTTTTGACAGTTCTCACAGGGAACTGGCGTGTGTTGGGGTGGTGACCTGGCAATATGTGTTTCCTGCAGATCAAAGTGGCAGAGAAGGTCAGGCTGTGGGAAGGGCAGTGGGTAGCACCTGTGAGGGGCCAGCTCAGGACAAAAAAGAGGGGCTGGGACCCACACAGCATGGAAAAGCAAAGCAAAATATCATTTTTCTTAGCCAGGCAGGTGGGATGGGCTCAAGCTTCTTATCTATAAATAGGGGAGATCCCATTTCAGGTCACATTTGTCTTCAGGAGTTAAATATCATGCGAGCTGGCATCCAGGCTCTTCACTACAGCACAGAGCAATTCCTCCCATTGCCTCTCATTCCTCTTTCAAACCAGGATCAAACACCCTGGGAAGACAGGAGCAGATTCAGTCACCACACGGGCAAAGGGTACAGGAGCCACCTAAGGCAGGGCCAGACCCACAGAATCACAGAATTCCCAGGGCTGGAAGGGACACCTGGTGACCCAACCTTGCTGAGGACCACAGAACGGAAAAGCTAAATAGGCTGCCTTGCCTGACCTATTATATCAAAAAAAACCCCACAGAAACCCAAGCAAATAACCCAACCCCAAACTTCTAAATTATTGGGAGTTTTCCCCCTAGGGAAGACCCCCTTACTTGTGTAGAGATCCTGACACAGCCTCACTGCTGCGTATTTATAATGTTTCACTTCATCACCGTCAGGATGGGGTGGGCTCTGCCCTCACAGATTCTGTTTTCTACCATCAAGCTCCTTTTTTCTGCTTAAACCAACATCAGGATCATGCTCAAAAATCCTCATTTCCCTCCAAAGTGCAGAAACACCAGGAATAAGATCCATTTCAGAACTCAGCCCCTGCTCCTCCCAGGCAACTTAAACAACTGGCAGAGCCCTGACTGTGCTTCTGGAGCCTCTGTGATACCAGGCTCAGAGGCAGGAAGGTTACATGAAACCATTGTCCTTTATTGTTGCCTTCTCAGCCAGAAGCCCTCTAGACAGATCGTTTTAATGTGAAATTTCAGGTCACACAGTGCATGTTTGCAGTCCTGGAGACCAACAGGGTATTTTCATTAGGTCTCTCTCTTGTTCACATAACAGCCAGGCTGAGGAGCTGTCTGGATTTCAGTCTTATTGCTTTAACTCTGAATGAAAACAAAGCAGTCCAAAAGGAAACCTGCAAATAAATTATTGCTGCCAGATGCCTGTCACAAGCACATTAGTCTGTCTGGAAAAGACAGAGGTTCATTCCACGCCTCCTCACCTCATCCATGGGTTATCTCTAAGTTTAAATCAAAATCAGCATCTTGCAAGTTTCCTAACCCAACACTACCTGAAAGGACCCTGTGCTGGGTATTCCCTTCAGGATTCAGATCAGTGCTCTGCCTGTAGCAGTCAGGGTACTCTTAGTAACATCACTTCATCTCTGTGTGCCCCTTTTCCCCCTCTTTTCTCTCTAAAAGTAAGAAATGTCCCCTATCCTGTTTACCCTGCACTAAGGAGCTCCCTGACATGAGCACAATACAAGTTATAATGATAATTTGTCAATGCTGCAGACTTAAATCAATGATGTTCAGACAGATAAACTTGAAAAATAGTTTAACCTGAGCACAATGTGAATTTTAACTGCCAGATTCCATAGCCAAGGTCTTGTTCTGCTGCCACGACAGCAATACAGCACGGATCTGAAATTTCATTTTACAGAGTACCTACAGGGTTGACATTTTCTTCTTCCTTCTTGTCTTAATACACATTTCCTTTCCAGTGGAAGCCTGAGGAACATAACAGAACACAAACCCACTGGGAACCCAGCACGTGCTGATGCCCAGGTGTGCCTGGGCTTCGACAGCTCTATGCAAATCTGCCATTAAAGGCCCTGCTGAAATTCCCCCTGGTCAGCAGTAATACTTTATATGTATTCAAGAGCACCACAGAGCTCAGAGAAAATAAACACGCTGAAAACCCCTTCAGCTGGACAAAGGGAGGTGAGGATTCAGCAGGAATATTTATTTTACACTGAAAGCAGCAGAGCTTCCATCGGTGCTTATTTGTAGATGTAGCAAAATGCCAATTGCAAGAAGCAGCATCTGAGCTTTAGAGGGACAGACAGACACACAGTGCCTCTATTTTTAGTTTTCAAAACCCCCTCAACTTATATTTGCCTAGCAGCAGAAGGAAAATGCCAGAAGAAATGACATTTTCTCCTACAGAATTGTTGAAAAGAGGAATTCTGCTTGGTCCTTCCCCTCTTGAAGATCCAAGGAGTCCCTTTTTTAGCTCCTCAAGGGAAAAGGCAGCAAAACTGCCTCTCAGTGAGGATGGGCTTGAATGGCCTATCCTGATTTCACCTCCCTTTTGTTTCTTATGAGGAATTCCTCCTTGGCTGTTGCAGGCTGAACACAGGTGGAGAGACCTGGATCTGGGTCTCCAAATTTCTCTCCTTTCCTCTCTGTAAAGTGCCATGGCATCTTTGTTCATTGCAGAAAATGAGGAGGACTTTGTCCTGCTGGACCTTCTCTAGCTGTGACTTTTTAAAATAAATAAATAAAGATTGATGGAGGAAAAAATACTCTTGATCAACAACATGCCTCCACTTTTAAAGCTACTCAGTAGTAGCTCCCAGCTGCTATTTTATAACCACACTCTGAGATTAGGAGGATTTTTTTTTCCTCTTCTTCCTTTAGGGTCTTCCTAGCTGCTTGATTTAAATCCTCCTGACGTTCCACCTATTGTGAGTCCTGTTCTCGGCTGAATAAGCTCCCGTCTGCCTTTTGCTCTGACTGCTTCCAGGAAAGGACACCCTGCACGGTGTTCCCGGGCCTGCAGCCAGGGAGGGGGGCAGGATTTTGCCTTGACATGTTGAGATGCAAACCCACAGCTTGTACCCACCTCGAACCCGACACTCCAGCTGTGTCACAAACATCCTCCTGAAGCCGTGCTGTCACTTTGCATTTGCAGGAAGGGTCCAGCCCCCCTCTGAAAGCAGCCAGTGCTGCGAGTGAAGCGCTGCCCCAGCGCCGCTGCTCCGCAGCGATGGCAGCAGCGTCCTCCACACTCGAGGGAAGCGGAGCAGAAAAAGCTGCTCCTGAGCATCACATCTGACACAGGCACAGCTGCACCGCTGCCTCCACAGCGCTGACAGCCCAGCGTTAGGCTGGGTGATTCCAGAGGCCGCGGTTGAAGTTGACACACACCTTCCTCTCCACTCTTGGGGAGCGCTACAAGGCACAGCCCCAATGCCAGGGAGACCTAAGTGGCTCCGTACGTGCCGATGGCTCTTGTGCCAGAGGAAGAGGTAGGGAAGAGGGGGGGAAATATTGTAGTTCCTCAATCTCATTTTTTTCCAGCTCTGTGATAAGCCAGCCGCCTTTTCCATGAGATTATCCTTGAGTGGCACAATGTGAGGGGATTGCTGAGATGCATCTCTGCGAAGGGGATGGCAGGGATGGGCTCTGGTGGCCCCACCACCATCCCCTCACCTGTGCTGACAGCAGTCAGCCCTCACCAACAACCTGCCTGCTATTCAGCTACCTCCCAGCTAGATCCCAATGGCACAGGAAAATAGAGATTTGGGAGACAAAGGTTCATTTTGCCACCAGACACCGTGGTCCAGGAGGAGCCCTGGCAGCAGCGTCCAGGCTCAGCTGGCTCCATGCAGAGATCAGCTCTCCCCAGCACTGCAGAGATCTCATTTCAAACCTGTCATGGGAAATTTTATCCCATGCCTGCACTTCTTTAGAGGAAAAAAATAAATAAGTAAACGTGCCCCACATCCCATTGTCCTTCACCGCTGCGCATCCTGTGGATTACGAGCTGTGACTGGCATGAAAAAGTACATTTAAATACAATATATATTTATGAGCACACAGAGAAGTGCAAGCATGTGCCCACAATGCGGATTCAAAGGTTAGAGAGTGATTGGGACCTCTCCCCCGTGAGGTAAGGAGGCTGCACACTCACACAGGCTCCCTCCAGACTTCCCCTCCCCATCTCCTCCTCTCACCCCTGGCACTCAGATAAAGCACAGATAAGCAGAGCTGAGGATTGCAAGGAACAGTGAATAATCGTGATGTGCTTGTTAGAGGCAGAGCACCAGATGAGCGCCAGGTACTGGGAATGTTACCTTTTGTAATCATTACTTTATTAACATACGACAATCTTATTAAATCTAACCTAAGTGCTTATTTGGCAGGTTCAATAGAAAAGCCTTAATTGGGCTCATTTTAAATATAGCAACAACTGCTTACTCTGCTTTCTAAGAAGGTGTGAGCTCTCCTGGCGACACCTGCGTGCAGCTGACAGCTTGTTAGTGAAGAAGGATGTTTTTAAGTGTGGATTTTTGCTGGTTTGGGGTTTTCCCAGGGTTTGGTTTATCTAGGGATGCAGGAAGACTTGGCAACATCAGTCACCCAAAGAAGCTTCCACATCACCCAGGTGGGTCCATCCACTCACTGGAGACAGTGCCTGACTACTGAGAGGTCAAAATAGGACAGGAAGCACCATTTGTGCAGTGAACAGCCCAGTTCTCTGCTTAATTAAAGCTTCCTAATCTGCTGGCAGTGAATCTGCCGGGAGGTTTGACAGCCTTGGCTGTACCTCTTTCATCAGGCACAGCTGCAGCAGTAAATGAGTGGCTGTGTTGAGCCCCAGGAGCTGTCCAGGGTCCCGGTGGGGATGAATGACTCACTTGTCCCCTCCAAAGGCACCACAGCTTCACCTGGTGTTCAAGGGGCTCCTTCCGACCAGCCGGCGCCTTGGAGAAAGGGCCCATTTTAACAGGCCTGGGAGTGACCTAAATACCCAGATCTGAGCCACCCTTGAAGGATGGCACCGGAGAGGAAGGCAAGGATTTAAATATCTGGACTCCAAGCCAAAATTCGACAGCTGGAAGCCCTCCCTGCCCGGAATCACTATACAGGAGGTTTGGCTGTAGCAAGGAGACAGAGATTTCCAAGTCCTGCCCATCACTTTGTGGGTACCGGAAAGGCTCCATTCCCCCAGGAGCAGCTGGTCCAGAAGGAGCTGGAGCACATGTGGCTCTTGTCCCATGGCCAACACATGGGGTGGGGGGGTCACTGTCCAAAAAATGTCCCTGCCTGTGTACTCACCTTGATGTGTGTGCCGTGCAGGCCAGCGGCTCCCTCGCAGCTGCTGATCTTCTCTCCACAGGTCCACCTCTGGTTCAGCAGCTCACCCCGAAACTCATTTTCTGGGGAGAGAAAGAGGAACATGGGGTCAGGACCCAGAGCCAGCCCAGCACCCCCTCAGCAGCACCAACCAGAGGTAGAAATGCAGTATTTATTCCCTGCCAGCTTTTTTTAATGTCCATACAAATCCTGAGGGTCTCCATACCCCAAGCATAAAGAAAGCCCAAACCATAAAGAATTTCCACCCTTAGCCTACTCCAAACACTACAACTCTGCAGTGTTGGAAAACACACTGTTAACAGTTGAAAATTAACGTTGAATGACTGGGATAACTCAATCTTAGGGTGATGTACATCCAAAGAGATAGGTGACTGTCAAGGTCACCTCTATGTATTTGTCCTAAAACAGCTGTTCTGAAGCCAAGAGGGTAGCTGGGGAGATTTTTCTAGCTGTCACAGGAGAATCAATTGTGTTAGAGACTCCAAATCCTGTTTGAAGCACTGTGCTCTGGCCTGGACCTTCAGAAAAGGCTCAAGGCTTGCAGACAAAATCCAAGAGCTGCTGAAACATTATTCTTCTTCGGAGGAGCTCTGAGGAAAGGGAGTGGGGAGGCACAGATGGCCAAGCAGATGATGAAAACCAAGGAAAATGAGGGAAAGAAGCTAGAAATGGACAGAAGAAAGGAGAACAGAGGGGGAAAATATCAAATAAGAAGAAATAAAGATGTTTCAATAGCACACTCATAGGCCAGCACTGCCTGCCTGCTTATCTAAAGCATTTCCCTCAGCATCCTTCTCCCAACAGCACGTTTTAAAACAGGAGCATTCTCTATGGGATGTAGCAGGGGCAGGAGCAGAGAGAAGGTTAAACTGTACAAACAATGGATCCTGAATAACCTGAAAGATAGATTTTTGAAAGGAAGAGATGGCATGAAATTCAACCACAACAGGGAAAAATTAGCAACACGTACAGACTCGTCCTCTCTGGGCCTGTTTTCTCATGTGAGCCCAAGTCACAGGCAAATGGTCAACCCTGGAAGCTGCTGTGGCTAAATCTGTCTCAAAGTGCCATCTCCTCCTTGCCAAGGGCCCCATCCTGATGTCCCATGCCTTCATCCCTTTAAGCAAGAAGGGGGAAAGACAGGGACAAGGAGCCTTGGCCTGGCTGAAGGTGTGCTGGCCACACTCAGAGGCCTTCCAGCCTGCTCCAGATCCTCTGCCCAGCCCAGTTGGAATGGCCAAGGCAGTTCTGTCAACACTGGAATCAGATTTCCTCTATTCCATGCTGCTTAAATGCATCTGGTCTCCAGGGAGGATCAGCTTGCACTGCTGGCTCTGCCCTTTCCATCTCCCTCCAGATCCTGGCTTCAGCAGAAACGAAGCTCACTGGTTATGTGAAGGACAAGTCTGTTAACCCCTGCCTGGGCCACCCACAAGGTGTGGGATAACCTTAAATGTGTTTTTTAGCCCATGGGAAGCAGATCCCAGAGGGAACAGCATATTCTGGGGTCCCCTCCTGGCACTGAGGTTGGACAGTGATAGTTCAGAGCCTGGAGCGCCTGCATCCACACCCCCTTGGAAAATTGCTTAGATGCTCAGCTGGTCTGATGGATCACAGCCCAAAGGAAAAGACCAGCTTTGTCCCCATCTCCCTCCTCAGTACCACCCACCCAGGCAGGACTGGAGCCCACACTGGAGTCTTGGGCTGCTTTTCCCCATCAACATTCATGACAAGCCACCACCATCCTTTGCCAAATGATGTTCTCTCCCAAACCTTGAATCTATCTGTCCCTTTATGGGATATCTACAGCTGTGAGCCAAAGCATTGCAAATGTGGAATCCTGGTACAAAACAAAAGGTTCCTTGAAATGTTTAAGTCACCTTCATCCAATCCCAAACAAGATGATGAGGAAACTTTGGAGGGAGACCACAGCAATTTGGAGTGTTAATCAGACTCGTGTGCTTTACTTCAAATTCCCAAAGACAGAAGAAAACATTAATTTGCAAAAACCCTAAATTTAGCCCTCCAAAGAATCATTAAAAAGTCCCCCAAAAATAAACACAACAAGCCTCATAGGAAGCTTTGGGGTGAGGATGAATACAAAACGAGGAGGGGGGTGCCTGGTGGCAGTCAGCTCTCACACCTGTTCTCACAGTGCCAGGGGAGCCCCAACTGCAGCCCCACCCTGTCCCCAAATCTCTGCAGAGGTTACACCTGCTATAGCAAAGTGATGGAGTGAGGGGAAGGTTCTGTAGAGAAAACACGGGTGGTGAAGGCTGCCTTTCCTCATAAGATGCATTACTGCATATTTAAACTGCAAGTCTAGAGGAAAAACATATCAATCTTCATTTGTTCCTCCAAGTGTAAGAAAAGAAAAAGGAAAGGAGAAGAATTTTTCTTCATTTTTGTTCCAGCACATTTTTCATGGGAAAGGTGAATCCTGAGTTAACGAGGCAGCAGCATGCTGAGAGCAGGCTGGGTCCCTCAGCATCCCACCAGACAACGTGGGCTCGCTTCTCAGAGGCCACACTGCAGCAGTGTGAGGGATCAAAGGGAGCATTCTGTGGCCCCATCTTTTATGTGAATTTTAAAAAAAATCTCAAAACTAAATTTTACACCTTCTCTAATCTGAGAAGCCACTCCTGGGCTGCTGCACCCCTCTGCACTGCTGGCTGCCTGACATCCCTGCATTTTATAGAAAGCAGGGAGAGACACTTTTTACATGGGTGAATAGTGCTGGGACAAGGAGGAAACCAGAGGTTTAGATCTGCTGTTAGGAAGAAGTTCTTTATTCAGAGGGTGGGGAGGCCCTGGCACAGGCTGCCCAGAGAAGCTGTGGCTGCCCCATCGCTGGAAGTAACCTGCAGTCATGGAAGGTGTCCCTGACAGGAGAGAACTGGAACAAGATGATCTTTAAGGTCACAACCCAAAGCATTCTGTGTTTCTGTGAGTTTGCAGTTTGTTGCCCACACACACAGCTCTGTGGCCACTGCCTGGAGAGCACCGAGCAGTGAATTTACTTCCCTGCGTGGCCCCAAGCCCTTGGTGCAATGAGAGCTTTCCTGCTGACAGGTAACATGAGCCTTATCTTTGATTTAAGGCCTCAGCTCCAAGCTGCAGCTCTGAACGCCCTCACACAGCCCCAGGATTCAGCACAATTAATTGCCCCACGTTCCTGCCCAACATTTGCCAAGTAAAAACCCCTCTGAGCAGGCACCCCACACACCTCAACCTCCCCACTTGCAGGAACACAGCAGCCCTACATCAGGATGCTTTTTTCCAAAGGAAAGGAATTAAAACCTCTGTAGGAATCAAAATACACTGAAAAAGTAGAACCCAGCTTCTTCAGCAATTCTCCTCCATTCATCTCCAGTGCCAGGAGTGTTGGTTTAGCCCCCTCTCAGGGCATAGGAATGCTGCTTATTCCAGGCAATTATCTCTGTTTACTGCAGCAGGGCTGTGTTCAGTGCTGCAAATTTAGCTTCCCAAACACGCATTTAATTTAAGATCTAATACCGGATGTTAATTGTATATTGCACAGTAAACGACTGATCATTAAAACATATTAATTGAGGTTTAACAGCTGTGTAATAGATATTACATCTCATACTTATCAGCAAATATGATTTAATAATTAGTTAAGATGGGATGTATGGATGGGAGATGTAGCATGGCTGGCTGGATCGTGGTTTTACTTTGTTCATTTGCTAAACTAAAGATAGTTTTCCTTATCACATTTAGAGAGGAGCTGGGCAATCACCAGGGAGATCATCAAATGGTTTGGGTTGGAAAGGACAGAGCTCATCTCATTCCAGCCCCCTGCCACGGGCAGGGACACCTTCCACAACCCCAGGCTGCTCCCATCCCTGTCCAACCTGTCTAGCCTTGAACACTTCCAAGGATGGGGATGTTGAACTTTGATGTTTTCCCCTGGGAGAAGTCCCAGTGAGTTTGTGATCTCTATAAAAAGCAAAATGAAGGGGTCATGAGTAGTTTCCTCCTAAAAGCTAGAGCTGAGGTGTGGAGAGCTGACCCCATCCCTGCCTGTTTGCACAGCTCACAAAGTTTGCTCAGGAGCTCTCTGCTGCTCATCCCCACATCATTCCCGGCCCTGGCTCCTCTCCTGGCAGCACAGAGCCAGAGGGTGCCTTGCAGCACTGCATGGCTGTCCAGAGACCAAACAGCTCATTGCACCAGAGAAGTGCATTTGTGATTCCACTGCCCCAGCAAACACACAGTGCTGGCTTAACCCACCCTGCTACCAAACCACACGCTTTGACGTCATGAAATCTGTGATGCACGCTCTGACCTTTTATTTTCCCCTTACCCAAAGGAAAGGAAGGGTTTGATTTCAGTAGGAACAAGCCTTTCTGGTGCTTTCCCTGCCAAACAGCCCCCTGCAGCACAGCGTGCCTTGCTGACACACTGAGCCACTGGCTCAGCACTAGCACAGCTCCGAGGTGCTCGGTGCTGACAGCCAAGTACAGCTCAGCTCTGCGGGTCCTGGGGCACAGGACACAGGAGGAGGGCACCAGACTGTGCCGAGGGAAAGAGGACAGGTCACTGCCAGCATCGTGCTGCTGCTTCCCCATTTCCAGTCACCAGAACCTGCCACTCTCCTTCCCAGCCATTCCTGCAGCCCAGGGAGCATCCCCTGCCTCAGCTCCCTCCTCCAGAGCTGCCTGAAGCAGGAGTGACTCACGTCCTCCTTCCCAGCCCCTGCCACCTCACCTCTTGGCTCATCCTGCTTCTGATGCTGTCAGAGGCCACCCCTGCCCAGGCAGCTGTGTCAGCCCCTGTGGTCACCTCAGCCCTGCCAGCTCATGCTTTGTCCTGTCATACCTGGCACCTTTGCATGCTCTTGAACTCTTTGTCATCTCATTGATGGGAACTGGGAACCACCCCTTCCCCATGGCTCTAGGACAGGACAGTGAACAACTCCTTGAATCACAAAAAGATTCAAATTTCCCAAGCACAAAAAAAAACATGTTGCAATGGGAAGAAGCATGGAAAACTGCTCCTTGGAGAGGAAGCAAAACCCTCAGTAGTGGGATTCATTAAC